CTCAACCCAATTGGTTTCGTCGATGCCGATTACGCCGGGGACACCGACACGCGACGATCTACCTCAGGATATTTATTCACCATAGCCGGCGGACCTGTATCCTGGAGTTCAAAACGCCAAGCAACCATCGCTTTATCGACCACCGAGGCAGAATACATGGCACTCACGCGCGCCGCCCAACAGGCACTTTGGATGTATTCATTTATGTCTGAAGTAGGCCTAAAGCGCGAATTCCCAGCAATCCTCCATGGGGACAACGCCGCTTCGATTGCCCTCACTCTTAATACGAAGGGACATGCATGCGCAAAACACATCGACATCCGACACCACTATATTAGGGAACGCATAGCAGAGGGGGAGATTGGTCTAGTCCAAATTCCGTCGGAAGAAAACCTCGCCGACATCTTCACTAAATCCCTTCCTTGTGTCACGCACCAAAAGTTCATTCGGGCACTCAAGCTGGACTTGTAGAGGTCCCTCGTTGTCTAGGGGGAGTGTTGAAGAAGACCCCTCGTGACCTCATTTATTTACGTGTACGTCTTGTTTGCACCTCCTCGATCAATTCAGTAAAACTTCCACCCCTTACACTTATATTCCACCGCTTACACTTACACCCACTTACGTCTGTTATTCCCGACCGTCCTATAAGTACGAGGACTTTATTTTCCCTCCACCTCAGTCATCACCACATCCGTGTCTGACTGAGGTGAGTCTTTTCTTACTTACATTTAGATACTTAACGCTAACGCTACTTGTACTTAGATCCTCGTACGTTAACAGGTAGCTAAGACAATAGAGTCATCACCACATCCGTGTCTGACTGAGATCCTCATACGTTAACATCATGCAGAGCCCCGTGCTGACTCAACTATCAACACCGCAGGTTCAATGTCACATCAGCCTCAATCCATGACGGCTGGACCCTCACAACCCATTGTTCAAGAGGTGGCACGACCTGCTAACACTAAGAAGGGGAAGAAGGCACGGGCACCTGTGAAGGGATCGGCAACAGTGACAGCTGCAATGGAGATGGTGGCAGCAGCAGTGCCTGCTGCAACGGAGATGGCGGTGGGAGTGCCTGCTGCAGCGGAGATGGCAGTGGCAGTGCCTGCAGCAAATTGGCAGCAAATCGCAGGAGCGGACGTCGAGTTTGAGGCAGACTGTTTCTTCATTGACACATTGTGATATTGGTATGTAGCTACTTTTTCGTGTGCATCGTGTTTCGTCAGTATTTTGTTGGAATGGGTGTTTCATTTTTGTCAAAAGGGTGAAGACATACAGTACAGTGAGTCTAAACAAAAGCGACAAAAACCAGGGAACAGAGGATACATAAGGTGGCGACAATGTCGCCTGTGTCAAGAAACTCGGCAAGAAATAAGACAACACTTTCCTCGCCTCTGACACCCTCATTAGGTTCCCCGTCTACCCGGTCCCGATCTCTTCAAACGTGCTTTTCTGTCCCCCATCTGTTTTTGGAATGGGCATGGTCTGTATGATGAATGAATGACTCATAAACAGGCGTTCGCAAAACACTAATCGATGCATCCGAGGGAAGGCCAGTGGTTGACATCCAGTACATGCCAGGTGACACAACCCGCATCGTGAGTGGTGTCGTAACACGAAGAAAGCACCTACAATTAGAGGCCCAATGGCAAGATAATGCCAGAGTAAAAGAAAGACTTACAAGCACATTTTGGGGCCTACTCCGATAAAAACCGAAACACGCAGCATCCGCCCATGTCAGGGTATCGGTTTCCCTCAACGCTCTTGATTCCGCGGGCAGCGCCGATTCGGTCCTCTTGGTATGTCGGTACGGATCTCGATGGGGAGAATGGCAGTCAAATCAAAGTCGTCCATAAGGTGCATGTACAAGCTGGTGTTAGACCAGAGCAATCCGTTAGTCTCCCATGAGTACGTGATGTACCTGTTGCAGATCGAGCTCAACTTTGGTCCGATCCAAAGAATAGTTGAGGGAGAAGTGCAGATGTGGTGGTCGAAGGACTGGGATTGAGTGAGGAAAGGCCTGACAATGAAGTGGGGCCTCTTGGCAAGGGGGAAAGGGAAGAAATCGTGGTGGGCCTGTGGCGACGCATTGGGACTGGTGGGAACCAGCAGCCATTCTGTCAAGTTGAACCGAAGGGCTTGTCTATATATCAAAGCAATAACCTAGTGGTTACTATGGACAAGGTAAGAAAGGTTTCAAATAATAACAATCAGTAAGTCATAAGTTCAAATCCCACACAGCGCAATAATTACTAACTACAAAATACAAACTACTAGGAACACTACAATACCAATAAACCCTACAATAACAAGAATAACAGAAACACTACAATAAGAAGACTAATGAATTAACCGTAACTACAAAAGCGAATACAATAAGGGACTATAAAAACACAGGACAGTACTAATACTTTTGGTAGCCCGTTATCACGTATTGTTATCGTTGCAATCTTATCGCGGAGTTGGAATGTGGTTCCAATATTCGTTGCAACCGGCATTGTAATGACAATTGTAATTACAGCTGAAAGCAGAACGATAGGNCACGGCAGATCGACACATGCTCAGGGCGGACTCCCAAATTTTCGAAGCGACGTGATGGCTGGGGCCGCTGAGTTCTCACAACGTGTTAAATTTCAACCTCCGAATTGATGTCACGCTAGTACCATAGTAAAAGTTGAGAGTCCGCCCTATGTATGCGTCGATCTGGCATGGCCTATCGTTCTGCTTTCAGCTGTAAAAACTCTGTAGTCACACTGACTTATGACGGCAATCCAAATTGTGACGCGCACAACAAATTGTGACCAATTGTGACCGAACTTAGAAAACTCCGACAAACACTCTTCCTCCCAGCGCACCGTCAGAACTGTATCGTCAACCTCTATTGCTGCCTCTCTCACATATACTCTAATCGTGGATTCTCAGGAACTTGGGCTCCGATACTTTTCCATCCTGGAAGTTAGGAACTTGAAAGGCCAGTTCATGCGCTGGATGGAGTAAAGGCGCAGCTACTCGTTCAAATTTAGAACATCTTTGGTCTGGCAGCGAGGTGACAGCATAAGCGCCAATGCCTCGTGGATGATGATCGATGAAGGCATGTCCAATAACTCAGACTCTTTCCTTCAACCACCCATCTTGCTGACGTTTCAATAGGTGCTGGTTGGAAGCAGCTATGTCTCCTCTGCCCGGTCATGATCATACGTCCAGTTCCACAGCCTCTTCGGACGGCAAAGGGGATACAGATTCAGCAGCGAAAGGAGGAAAGTCAACGAAAAGGACGGGTCCTAGCTATGGTGCGCCCTATCCCGAAAGGTCTACTGCTGGCTTGGATGGCCTAATTTACGTGTGCAGTATATTACCGTCTATACACCAAACTCGGTGCATTCGAATCAAATCGCCCCCTCTACGATAACGACCGTTTCATTGGTCGCATTCCAACGAAGTCTTTTGCCCCTCCTCACACGGTGGCGTCCATCAGGCGCTCCCTGTGCAAATTTGAGGGCCTCTCTGAGCCCGACAAAGCCCTTCTTTTCACACCGCTCTCAAGCCCAGCACCGATGGAAAACTCTGCGCGCCTCTCTCTTTTTGCTCCTTCTGGACCAGGCCTATCTGAACAAGATCCGATTGTGCTGGTTGTCGAGTCGGAGAAGAGGACCAAGAACATTACGCTGTCGGAGAAGCTCCCGGAATGCTCTGATGACACTGACATCCACTACGGTACGTCTTGGCGACGTCTCCTATCTAAATAATGCACTTATTAGCTTTGCAGTGTACTATCGCCTTTATTCATCAGAAGGAGATGGAGACGAAAAGGCAAAGACGTCCTTTGACAAAAGCGATATTTCGTTAGGACGCATCAACACCCTCTTCGTCGCTCCCCCTCATACTGCTGGGTCTTTGAAAGCACATATCGCAAAAGTTGAAGGCCTGGTCACGCCGGGTCATGCACTCTACAAGGACATGGAACTCTTCCAAGACATGACTAGTGATGCCGCCATGAGCGACACCGACGTCATATCCTTCCAAGGTGACAATTATCCTGGTGGTGATGAAGGCGATCCCGTAGCCCTTGTCAATGCAACCGCCAATACAGCAGCGGATCAAAAGGCTAAGCCTACATCAGGTAAAGTTCTCGGCAGATATCCACTAGACACCGCGGCAACAAACCGTGCTTTTTCAGATGGACCAGATTCAAAGTTCATGAAACGCGCTCAGTTAACTTCTACTTTCGGTGAGTGACAGTTTCTGAGATAATCCGATTCTCATTCTATAGTATCCCGCCGCAGACTATGATAAATATGATTCCGCTTGGCTATCAACAACCAAAGATGAGATCGTTTACACGGATGGAGTTAGTGTCTCCAAATTTTACTTCCTCGACTGGGGTATTTCTTTCCTTTTCTGTTTCGTCACCAGTTTGTTGACGCTTTGTCGGAACAGAGACTCATTCAGGATACATGGTGATTAATTCCAAGGGTGAAAAAGGCTGTGAGTCTCCAATTTACCTTTGGGTCACTAGGTGGTTATTGATTTTCTTCGGTAGTTGTGATGTCGAGTAAGTAGTCTCGTCCCTCTGTCGGAGTATTTGATATCCACCGTTTGCTAGATTATGTTCAATTTATCTGATTGGTGAACATTGGAGAGAGTGTATGCTTTCGGAATGGAAATATGTCAGGATTTAGGCTCAGAAGGGGTCCATGTACCAGTACCGTAGATCTGTTGTATATATGTGACACAAGAAATGAGGAACTGGTTATGAAAAACCAAGCAGACATCGCGCAAACTGTAATGGCTGACGGTTGACGCTATCAAACATTCAGTCCTATTCAAAGATTCAAGCGATACATAAGGTATAAGTAAGAGATATACACGAACAAAAACTAAAAACGCTCGCATACGCGCGCGTACATTTATTCAATTCCTCGTCAGCGTCAATCAAAAAGAGATCGTGAAAAAAGTCGTAAAGATCATAAAAGTCATAAGACTGTAAAGCATCTCCCGCCCTCAAATTTAGTCAACGCTACCTCCTCCCCCTCCTCAACCAACTCCAAATCCCAAACCCAGTCAACCTCCTCACAAGCACCTTCAACAGAATGGCACACACGCCAATCCCAACGAGCACGAGGTAGCTCCCGCGTCCGCCTGTCGATAGGTATAGATCGCGTCGGGCTTCCCAGTCGCGTCTGGGTCTTCTCTGAGGGGTGGTGGTGGTGGTGGTGGTGGTGGTGGTGGAAGAGTTTGGGTTGGAGGAGGTGGAAGGACTTGTGTTAAAGAAGGAAAAGAAGAAGGAAGACATCTTGTCGCCCAATACGTGAACGACAACGGACCGAAGAACAGTGATGGGCCATGAATTCGACATAGTGGACGCGTTGGGAGCACCAATTCGAGCATCACGCGTTTCCTCGAGCTCTTGAACCCGTTTAGAACGTTCTCCAAGCTCAGAACCTCTCTGATCAAGTGCCCGTTCTCCCTCCCTCGGACATCTTCCTCCTTTCAACCACCATCTCCCTCTGCTCTACCTCTTCCTCCCTCCTTTCAATCACCTCCCCACGTCGCCCAACCACATCCTCACGATACCCAACACCCCTCTGCACCTCCCCAACCCTCTCCTCCATTCCCTCAATCCTCTCCTGTCTAGCCGCCAATCCAAGCTCACGTTGGTCTAGGGCTTGTTGGCGGGTTGTGAGCGTTGCAAGGAGGGCGTGTTCTGTTGCGTGTGGGCCCAAATCCAGAGCTGAAGCATCTCCGAACCCTAAGGCCGATGATGCTCGTGGTGGGTCAAGATCGAATACGCTTTACAAGTTCGGTTTCCTCTCCTCTCCTGCATCTTCCTTTTCCCCCTCGTTCGCGTTCGGTTTCTCTTCTTCGCCTTTCGTGCTCCCCTTCCTTTCCGCACTCCCCTTCCCTTGCCCCTTCCCTTCGTCTTCATATTTCTCCTCAATAGATTGACCCCCCTCACCACCACCAACCCTCACACGAACTTTCCTCCCCCTCCCTGTCCTAACAACTCCACTTCCACTTGTACTCCCACCAACACCAGCAGACCCAGCACGCTTAACAGTCTCACCCAACTCCAACTCACACGCCTCGGCTCCCGTTATAGGGATAGGGCGTGCAGCAGGAGAGTGGTGATAGAGGAGCAGAAGGTCCGCCATGCTCGAATCCTCGTCCCCACCTTCGGATGATTGGGATGGAGCGGTGTCGTTCCCTCCTTCCATTTCTGTTTCTGGTTCTGGTAATAGGTCTGGGTCTGGTGATGACGCTCCCCCTCCTCCTGGATCATAATACCCAACCAACCCCTCAACTCCAACCCCAGGCTGTGGCCTAGGATGATCTATAACAAACCCAGAATCGGTCGCCGTCGTTGCAATGCCCGCCCGCTTCCATTCTCCACCCACATCCGCGCTGGAAAGAGGGTGGTCTACGAGAAGTTGTCCCTTATGTGGCGGAGGAGGAAAGGGACGCGCGAGTTGTTGGCCTGGACCGCCTACGCCCAGCAGGATTAAAATGGGGGGCACGGAACTTGAGGATTCTGTTGGAGATAGAGGTAGAAGCGCATGGCAGTATCCAAGCTCCTCAAGTCCTGCTGTTTCAATTGGGGCTTGAGCGAACGGAGGGCGCATGCCTAAAGCTCTGAAATCTATTTGGGAAGTAAGCTTGAGGAGTGTGGAAGCGAATGGCGACCCAGAATGCGTAGAAACGGATGGCGAATCCGTGCCTGTCGCAGGAAACGGTGACACAGTAGAAACGAACGCAGACCCCGTAGGCAGTACCAATGGGAGTGCGAGCCAGAGCCGGGATGTACAGGCGTAAGTATGGGTGTGGGTAAAACAGGAGACGAGCTGGGTGGGGCGACTTTATCCTTTCTTCTCCTTCTGTCCGTGCATCCGGCTCTTTCCTCATATTGGTACTCGGACCACGACCAGCACCAGGGCTAGGAGCAGAGAACGAAAATAAACCATGGACTGCCCCACGCGACGGTTGAAGAGTATTTGGATGGATGCGAATAGGATGCGGAATGTCGTTGGTCTTTGGTCGGATTTGGTTTCGTTGATTCTTATTCGTTCAACTCGACCTCCTTCCTCCTTTCCTGATCGTCATTGCCGTCCTCTGCGCTTGAAGACCATTCAAGAGAAGCCGTTACACCTCCATTGCTATTTGAGGTAGAATCGAAGCTGATGTTCCTGCTCCTCCTCTCCACATCAATGCTAATAGAGTTGGGAGAGAAATAGTTGTGTTGTAGACAATGAACAGGGAAGTTTTGGCCCGACTCGAACCCCCATATTCGGCGTCGAAGGATATTTTTGACAGGACGGTGGATTTTGAATAGTTCAAACCTTTGATTCAAATCGACTATTAGCACTGGGCAGAAATAAAAACATTGAAAGAGAAAAACCAAGGAAAGGTAGAACACGTACCTGTCAAAATCACCCTCGTTCAGAACAAAGTTTTCCCCATTATCTGTTTCCCCTTGACGAACGCAGTGGTATCACGCGTCAATTGGTCCGGAACCTCCCCAGCCCCATCTCTGCGGAGAGTGGAGGAGATGTAGGCAGATAGGTGTGTTGGTGACCATTTTGGGGTCTTCTGGTCACTCGAGGGTGGGTATGGTAGACGAAGGAAGGGTATCAGCGCTTTGACGCATGGGCGGCGTATCGTGCTCTTCATCTTTACCCCCATTCCCAGACGTGTGTGAAGGAAGACGGAGACCTCGAAGGGGGCACTGGCAAAGACCTACGTTCCAAGCTCCTACCATACCTATGCTAGGAAGCTGGAACTTCGTCGGGGACACCTGACCACTTCAAGTTGGAGATGGCGTAGATGGGAGATAGTGGTGCTGTGTGAGTGTGGTACCATGGACTTGGTGGTACGATGAAGAGGAGAAGGGGGAAACGATGCCTGTGGATGTCGTTTTTATGGCGTAGGGGTGTGCGTTTGATGAGGGTTACGTTTGGGGATGATCATGGAAGTGTCTTTGACTCTTTGGTGAGTGAACTGGCGGGGAATGAAGAGGTGGATGGCGTGGATGTCGAAAATATAGTGATGTCACTGCCAAGGCTCGATTCTCGACTTGCGAGTCGTTACGCGCAACAGTCGACATTCTCAGACTCTGTAGTGGCGAGTCGTCGGGGCTAACGTTAGGAGTTGACTTGCACAATGATACCTACGTGAATTATACTTGACTGCATATATGTTGTACCGTAATATACAAGATGATTTGAGGGTAGCCAATGGTGTTTCGTGAAGTAGCATCGGAGAGGTCAATGAGAAAAGAACGAAAACAAAAAGAATGTTCGAAAGGTTCAAGCCGACCGAGTTACACACTCGCTGAACTGGAAACTTCGTCAATATTTCGCAAAACGTGATAGTAACCAAGAGAAACTCACACCACGCCGATACCTTTTCTGCCATGTCAACCTCATAATCCACGTCGGTCTAGCGCTCTTCAGCACTTGGAACTGATGCCCTGGCAGGCGAGGGTGCGAATACCCTGCTTGGATCGGACGCCAGGTACCACCTGTCTCGCCGCTCCCAGATCCACACGTTGACATTAGATGGTCCTTACCAATGTAGATACAAATCCTCAGGCTCAAAAGTCCAACACGGGGTTTTCGAAGGTGGTGAGTGTATATGAGAGGCGCCGTCGGAGGAAGTGAAGAATCGGACATGGACGTCTTTGTTCCGGATCTTGGAATAGCGCATGGTGATAGTAAGAACCGAGTATGCTTTATATACTTGTGCTTTGTCGACAGCTGCTGGAACGGGTGACCTGCGCTGAGAACTCGGAGTAGGGTGGACATGAGAGTCTGAATGAGAATACATTAGCAAAAGCACCAGACGGAGGAAAAGAAGGAATCTGACCAGATGTAACCGCGGGATTGGGGTTCTCCAACGTTGACTGCCCATTACAACGAACAATAGGTAGCTTTGGCTCAGATGCAGAGGGACCCGGAAGGCAAGTGAGTAGGGTCTTTTTGAGTGGAGACTTCCGTTTCTTCTGTAGCCCTTGTCAGAAAATGCGAGATCAAAAAGACAATGTGAAAGCTCTAACTGAAGAACGGGGTTCCCAAATAGAATCTGAGTTGTCGGTCTCACCGTCGTCGATGTAGTCTTGGTCATCATAATCATCGTCATCGTCATCTTCAGAGGTCGTCGTCCAACTTCCAAATGGGCGACGGCGATAAGCTTGAAAGCACGTCTTCAGCGTCAGTCATGAAAGGTGATGAAAGGGGGGTGACTATACCTAGGTGACGAGCCGGTGTCGTATGGAGAAGACCGCAATCTGGAGGGGTGATTAAAGGTGGGGGGCCGCGATCAAAAACAGGGGGTTTCCAACTCCAAAAAGGTTGCTGGCTGCCTTCACAAGGTTCTATCAGAGGTTGGGAGCAACGAGCAGGTTATCCCATGCACGGTCGGGAACCGGGAACCGAAGGTGCAGTTACTCTTTGAAATCCAGGATCCCAGGGTTCCCTTGGAGATTGAGCACTACGATCCATGTGAGAATCCGGGGGAGTCTTAAGCCCAACGGAAATCCCATGTTGAGCAGATGCATTTTGGGTGTTAAGTAATGTCCCTCCGCTCCCCTGCGTTGTGACATGTTGAATACCCTTGAAAGGCAGAATCAGTGTGAAAGGACTTACCAAAGGAACATCCATGTCCGAGTCCGAGATCTCAATAAAGAACTTTCTCAACATTTTGGGTACTGCTGAGGTGTTGCCTTTGATCCTGGAGCGTATGGTGTCCACGATCAAGTAGACTGTCGTGTAGCGTCGGGCGGTCAATGAAGCCTTTGTGACTTTTCGTTACGCCTTCGTCATCGTTGGCAGTCCGGCGGGTTTCAGGGTATAATCTGTCGTAGATATACCGACCCGTAACATAGATGAACGCACAGAAGAGAGAGTTGATGAAGAAGATGATGGTGAACAGAAGGATGAAACCGAGGCAAGCTACCGCCGATGGCATGGCGGGAAGGCAATCGTTCTGTGGATATGAAATGGGTGGTGGAACAGTGGGGAGAGATAGAAAGGACGTACTTTGAAATAATAGCTGTATAAAAGGGAAAACAAGACAAAGAAGAGATCGTCAAAGGGAGGCGCGATCCTTACGTAAGCCGTTCGGGACCCGTGACAGCAACCAGCCCAATGGTCAAGTTTGGGTCGTTTTCCCCGTGTTCTTGCAAGCGTACTATGCAGCTGAGCGTCCAATGTCCCATCCCCCATGATGTTAATAAGAGGAAGTCCACGCTTGAGCGATGCAAGCGGCCTACCCAACTCTCGCTGTCTTAGAGGTTAGTACGTGTTCGGTAGGATCAGACTAATCAGTAACTCACCCCGATAGATGAATTTCCTCAAACCAGGCGTGGGGCCGAACAGCAACACGGAGGGCATCTAACGGTAACGTCGAAGACGTGTTTGAGGTGTAACTCTGTGTCAAGTCTATCGGTACCCGGAGAGCTAAAAACGAAGGGGGTACATACGTCGAAAAGAGCTAGCCTCGTTTCCCTTCAAAAGTCGCGGAAGTACACACGATGGCTGTTTTCTCCTCAACTTCATCGTAGTAGTAACTGGGGACGACGCCCTGCCGAAAAGTCGTTGAAAAGATCGGCAAGAAAGGCGGTGAACCCTGGTATGGTAGGTACATTTGAAGTGATGTTCTTGATGTCCTCGATGTCAGTAGGCGATCAACCTTCGATTGGAGAAATGACGATCTCGATGTCCTGTTGCAGGGTCAGTGAAGGTAGAAAAGATTCGAGTACGCAAGTTGATTGACTTTCAATAGGACTTGACAAACTCGCGCAAGTTCATAAGAATCGTTGGGACGTTGAACATGAAAGGTGCCATCATCTTCGATCTGGATAGCTGGTGGAAGGAGCTATGCGAACGAAGCGGGAAATGTTCTAGACGACGATGGTAAGGACTCTAGGGAGAAGAACGAGGAGATTTCACGAGCTTACGCCGTCATTGAGAAGAAACAACCCCTCCAGCTGAGAAGCCTGTTGTGCCGGCCAACGGTTGCGATGGCAGAGAGCATCTCCTTATAGTCCTCCGAATCTGCTTGAACTTCTGCCAGTAGACAGTCGAGGTTTAAAGAACGGGTAGGGCCACTCCCTGAGGTTCCACGAACAGTGTGAAGAATCCTCGCACAACAAGACCCGGTCGTCGAACGCCAAAATCGTAGTATAGGCTGTCCCATCCCGCGACATGCAGAATTATCGGAGTACAAGTTGGTAGTGTTGCAATGGCGAGCTTTTCATCGTCTCATGTAACGCCTAAACATTCATGAGAGGTGAGAGTGCGAGCATGATGGATGATACGCACAGATGGTCCTATGAGATTGAAGAGAATTTCGAATGGATAAGAAGAAATTTGAACAATGCCATGGCGTATATGGTTGGCCGGTACGTAAGTATTGAGAAACTTCGCCGTCATGACGTGGCGAAGACCTCTTTGCCGTGGACGTCTTTAGGCGGTATGATTTGGGAGACGGCGGCTTGTTTATTGGTAGACTCGAAGGACGCGATGTCGAAGTCAGATATATAGTGAATTAGAGGCGAACCACAACTCGGATATGGTTTGGATATGGTTGGGCGATCGGTTGCACTGAACTATGGCGTTGTAAGCAAACATATTGTCAGATAGTAAGTACTTACGACAATGGGGACTATTGGGGCCCGTGTAACAACCTTAGTTGCTGTAGGTGTTGGTTAGGTAGAATACGAGCGCACTGCGTTCAACATGAACACCTCAGCGCGCCATCAGAACTGTATCGCTAACCTTTATTTTCACCTCTCTCCCATATGATCGTGGCTCCTCATAACTTGCGGTCTGGTACTTTTCCAAGCTGAGAGCTTGAGAGGCCAGTACATGTGCTGAATGGAGGAAGGGCGGAGCTGCTTGGTCAACTGGAGACGTGCTCTGGCGACGTGCTGTGTGAGCGTGGTAGTATGGACCGGTGAGGAAGAAAAGCAGAAAAGGATGACTGTGATGTTGTTTTATGGCGTAGGTGTGTGCGTTTGGTTTTACTGTGTTTCATGAGGGTTTGGAGATGACGATGGAAATAGGGTCCTTGGTGGGTGAGCTGGTGTGGGGGAATGAAAAGCTGGATGTGGAGGATGTGCGGGATCGACTCGGCGGATGGCGGTGGTTGTGAATCTGATGTCAAGTTCATCAAGTTGTTGTGTTGTGATCAGCGCTCACTGCCTCTGCGCCATGACGTCAACGTGTACCTGCCAACGACCTCTCCCTGACTGGAGAGGCGCCCGTGTGCCTGACTAGATAACGACCATCGTAAGGTTCGCAAGGCCCGTTGAACAGCCATGGAATTTCATGGGCATGGGTACGCGTCATACCCGCACTCAAACGCGCTTGTGCTGTCAACCCTCCACTTCCAGTGACACCTCCTTGGACCTTAATAACTCACTTCCTCCCAGCGCACCGTCAGAACTGTATCGTCAACCTCTATTGCTGCCTCACATATACTCTAATCGTGGATTCTCAGGAACTTGGGCTCCGATACTTTTCCATCCTGGAAGTTAGGAGCTTGAAAGGCCAGTTCATGCGCTGGATGGAGTAAAGGCGCAGCTACTCGTTCAAATTTAGAACATCTGACTTGGTCTGGCAGCGAGGTGACAGCATAAGCGCCAATGCCTCGTGGATGATGATCGATGAAGGCATGTCCAATAACTCAGACTCTTTCCTTCAACCACCCATCTTGCTGACGTTTCAATAGGTGCTGGTTGGAAGCAGCTATGTCTCCTCTGCCCGGTCATGATCATACGTCCAGTTCCACAGCCTCTTCGGACGGCAAAGGGGATACAGATTCAGCAGCGAAAGGAGGAAAGTCAACGAAAAGGACGGGTCCTAGCTATGGTGCGCCCTATCCCGAAAGCTCTACTGCTGGCTTGGATGGCCTAATTTACGTGTGCAGTATATTACCGTCTATACACCAAACTCGGTGCATTTGAATCGAATCACGCCCTCTACCACAACGACCCTTTCATTGGCCGCATTCCGTCGAAATTGTTTTCCCCTCCCCATACGGTGGCGTCTATCAAGCGGTCCCTCTGCAAATTTGAGGGCCTTTCGGAGCCCGACAAGGCGCTTGTTTTCACACCGCTCTCCAGCCCAGCACCCAAAGAAGACTCTGCCCGCCTCTCTTTGAAGGCTCCTTCTGGGCCGGGGCTGTCTGAACATGATCCGATTGCGTTGATTGTCGAGTCGGAGAAGCGGACCAAGGAGGTCATGCAGTCGGAGAAATTGCCGGAACGCTCTGATGATACTGATGTCCACTACGGCAAGTCTTGCCGACGTCTCCTACCCAAATACTGCACTCATCAACTTTGCAGTATACTATCGTGTTTACCTATCAGGAAGTGAAGGAGAAGAAAAGGCAAAGACATCCTTTGACGAAAATGACATTTCGTTGGGACGCATCAACACCCTCTCCATCGCTCCCCCTCACACCGCTGGGTCTTTGAAAGCATGCATCGCAAAAGTTGAAGGCCTTGTCACGCCGGGTCATGCACTTTACAAAGACATGGAACTCTTCCAAGACACGGATAGTGATGCTGCCATGAGCGACACTGATGTCATATCCTTCCAAGGTGACGCTTATCCGGGTAGCGATGAAAGCGATCCCGTAGCCCTTGTCAATGCAACCACCAATACAGCAACGGACCAAAAGGCTAAGCCTACATCAGGTAAAGTTCTCGGCAGATATCCACTAGACACTGTCGCGGCTAAGCTTGCTCCTTCAGATGTACCAGATTCAAAATTCACGAAACGTGCTCGGTTAACTGACACTTACGGTGAGTAACATTTCATGAGATAATCCGATTCTCATCCTATAGTATCCCACCACAGACTCAAAAGATACACTCTGGCTATCAATAAACAAAGAAGAGATCGTTTACACGGATGGAGTTATTCTCTCCAAAATTTACTCCCCCAACGGTGCCAACTGTATTTCTTTCCTTTTCTGCTTCATCACTAGTTTGTTGATGGTTTGTCGGAACAGATAATTATTCAGGATACATGGCCATTAATTCCAAGGGTGAAAAAGGCTGTGAGTCTCTAATTTGCCTTTGGGTTACTAGGCGGTTATTGATTTTCTTTGGCAGTTGTGCGTGAGGGTGAGTGGTCTCCTCCCTCTGTCGGAGTATTTGATGACCGTTTGCTAGAGTATCTTGAATTTACTTGATTCGTGAGCTTCGGAGAGTGTGTATGCTTTATAATTAGGAATGGGATATGTCAGGACTTATGTAGGTTCAGAAGGGGTCGATGTACCGGTACCTGTAGATATGTTAATATGTACCATAAGAAACGCGGAACTGATCATGAAAACCGAACCAGGCATCGCAACTTGCAACTGCCGACGGTTGACGCTTTCAAATGTTCAGTCCTGCTCAAAGATTCAAGCGATACATAAGGTATAAAATAAGTAAGAGATATATACACGAACAAAAAACCCAAAACGCTCGTATACGCGAGCATTCATTCATTCAATTCCTCGTCAGCGTCAGCCAAAAAGAGATCGTAAAAAGTGGTCAAGGTCATAAAAGTCATAAGACTGAGAAGCATCTCCCGCCCTCAAAGTCAACGCTACCTCCTCAACCAACTCCACATCCCAACCCCAGTCAACCTCCTCACAAGCACCTTCAACACAATAGCGCACACGCCAATACCCACGAGTACGAGGTAACTCCCCCGTCCACCTGTTGATAGGTACAGATCGCGTCGGGCTTCCCATTCGCGTCGGGGTCTTCTTTGAGGGGTGATGGTGGTGGAAGAACTGGGATTAGAGGGGAGGAGGAAGAAGAACTTGGGTTACAGGAGGAGGGAGGGTTGGGCTCAAGGGGGAACGAGGACATATTGTCGCCCAACACAGGAAACTTGAAAGACGACGGACTGAAGAAGAGTGATAGTGATGGGCCATGACTTCGACGAAGTGGACGCGTCGAGACCACCAATTTGAGCAGAATGCATTCCCATTCTTCCTCAACCTGTTCGAAACGTTTCTCAAGGTCAGATCCTCTCTGATCGAGAGCCCGTCCTCGCTCATCACATTCTCTTCCTTCTCCTCCACCTCCCTCTCTCTCCGCTCAACCGCCATCTCCCTCCCTTCCGCATCCTCCTTCCCTTTCCCCTTCTCTACGTCTCCTTTGTTTTCCTCAACGAATTTACCCTCACCAAACCTCGCTCGAACCTTCCTCCCCCTCCCAGTCCTGATGACCCCAGCTCCACCACCAGCAGACCCCTCCGCCCCTTTGATAGGGTGGTGGGAGAGGAGGAGGTCCACCAGGAGGAGGAACGCCATCACCAGACGTATCTCTCAGAGCATCATCACCAGACGTATCATCCCTCGGAACATCAACCAAGCCCTCGACTCCAACGCCAGGCCGTGGCCTAGGATGATGTATGACAGGCCCATAATCAGTCAGTGTCGTCGCTACGCCCTCCCTCTTCCTTTCCTCACCCACACCAAGGTCCAGCAGTGCAAAGAGGGGGTCTACGTCGGAGGGGTTGTGGTCTGTTATGTGGCAAGGCAACACAGGTGTTGTTGGCCTGGACCGCCTACGCCTAAGGGGTCGGATTGCAGTGAATGGGGGTACGGAATCTGTCAGGAATGGAAGATAAAGATAGAGAGGCATGACGGTACCCAAACTCGTGCAGTATCAATTGGAGCTTGAGTGAATGGGGAGCCCGTGCCTGTGGAAGAGAACGGCGACCCAGAATGAGTAGAAACGAATGGGGAACCTGGGCCTGTTGATGGGAACGGTGGTGATGTAGAAATGAACGGAGACCCTGTGAGCGGTGTGTAAGAGCGTAAGCAGGGCGGGTAATGCAGAAGACGAGCTTGATGGGGCGGCTTGATCGTTTTCTTCTCATTCCGTCCGTGTTCAGACCCTTCCCATGTATTGATACTAAGACCAGCCCAGGGCTAGGAGCAGGAAACGAGAACAGATCATGTACTGCTCCCCGCAATGAAAGTCTTGTTGGGTGAATGCTATCAGGACGCGGAACGCCATCACCGGAGAACAAGACATGGAATGTCGTTGGTTTTTATTCGGTGAATTTGACCTCCTTTCTCCTGATCGTCGTTGTCGTCCTCTGAGCTCGAGGATCGTTCGAGAGAGGTTATCATGCCTCTCACCCTCCCTTTTCATTGGAAATAGAATCAAAGCTGGGGTTTGCCGTCCCCACATCAACGCTAAAAAAATTGGAAGGGTGGTCGTCATGTTGTAGAGAATGAACGGGGAAGCTATGGTCCGAGTCGAACCCCAACTCGTGGAATGTTTGACGCAGGGAGCGGGAGGCGGAGAGGGGGTGAGTTTGGTGGGTTGTTGGTACGTATTTCGGACCTTTGTATCCAATTAGCACTAGGTAGAAACAAACCAAGAACAAGAAGAACACGTACCCCTCTGTACCCCTCCATCATTCACCCCATTTGATGGGTGCTGTCACAGTAGCCACGACGGAGACCTCGAGGCTCGAAGGAGGCACCGGTCAAGACCTAGGTTCCTTGGATGTCAAGCTCCTACTAGGCCTGTAGGGAGCTTATATTTCGTTGGGGACACCTGAGCACTGGGGGAAGGCATAGATGGGACGTGGTGGTGTTGTGTGAGCGTGGTAATATGGACCTGATGGTGCGGTGAGGAAGAAGAGCAGGAAACGGTGACTGTGGATGTTGTCATGGCGTAGTAGGGGTGTGCGTTTCGTTTTACTGCGTTTGATATGGGTTTGGATATGACGATGGAAGTAGGGGTCCTTTGTGGGTAAGCTGGTGCGTGGGAATGAAAAGGGATGTTCGGGATCGACTCGGACCCAAGTTCAAGTTGTTGCGATGATTGACAGCGTTTGTTGGGGTGAATGTCAACGACCTCACTGACTGAAGAGGCGCCCATGCCTGTCCAGATATTGGCAACCATTGTAAGGCCCTCCACGCTGAACAAACACACAGTTCATGGGCATCGGTAACAATATTTCAAGATATTTCGCGACCAATTTCTTGACGGCAGTTGCATTCTGTCAGTACTTCTTTGTTCAACTTGAAGATCGCCTATTGGCTCACCGTAGTATCTAGCACTCGTTTTATGTCGTACATGGTGCTGTCGATCTACACTTTCCTGAGGAGTCCACGACTTCCACTCCTGAATAACCACTCTCTTCTTCACAACGCACCATCGGAGCCTGAGGTATCGTCAACTTTCATTTCCACCTCTCTATATAATCTCGAAATCTCACGAATTTGCGCTTCCATACTTTTCCAGGCACTGGGGAAGTTGAGAGCTTGAGAGGCCAGTGCATGCGCTGGATGGAGTAAAGGCGGAGCTACTAGTTCAACTCTAGGACATCCTACTTATCATGACCGTGAGGCGACAGCATAAGCGCCAACTTTGCCTCGTGGATGATGATCGATGAAGGCATGTCCGATAACTCTTTTCTTCAATCGTCCAGCTTGCTCAAGCTTCAATAGGTGCTGGTTGGAAGCACTGGCAGCTATGTCTACTCTGCCTAGTCATCATAATACGTCCAGTTCCACTCCCTCCTCAGACGACAGAGGCGCAATGAATCCAGTTGGTTTGATAGCGTACGTTTAGTGGAGCGATCTTCGTTGCATGTTGAGCTGACCTACTCGACGGCAACTCTCATGATGCCTACCAAAGGTTGCAACTTGAAAAAACTTGCGAAGATCTCACAGCTACTATGTCTGACTTAGCTCGCAGGCTACGGGCGACGAACGAGAAAGATGCGTTGGCGCGATCGGAAGTTGATTCGGAACTTGCGCAGAGACACGGCAAGACACTGTCTGATCTTGCAGAAGCGAAATCGAAGATAGCCCACTTGGAGTTGCAACTGAAAATATCGCAGGAAGCGCAGCTTGGCGAGAAAATGACATCTAATCATGCGTCCAGTTCCAACCACTCTTCAGACGGCAAAGGGGGTACAGATTCAGCAGCAAAGGGAAGAAAGTCAACGAAAAGAACGGGTTCTGGCTATGGTACGCCATATTGCGAAAGCTCTACCGCCAGCTTCGATGGCCTAATTTACTCATGCAGTATATTACCGTCTATACACCGAAATAGGCGCATTCGAATCAAATCACCCTCTCTATAAGAACGACCGTTTCATTGGTCGCGTTCCAACGAAGTCTTTTGCCCCTCCTCATAACGTAGCGTCTATCAAGCTGTCCCTGTGCGGACTTGAGGACCTTTCGGAGCCCGACAAGGCGCTTCTATTCACACCACTCTCAAGCCCAGCACCTAAAGAAGACTCTGCCCGCCTCTCTTTGAGTGCTCCTTCTGGACCAGGCCTGTCCGAACTAGATCCGATCGTGTTGGTGGTCAAGTCGGAGAAGAGGACCAAAGAGGTCTCCCAATTGGAGAAGTCATTGCCGGAACGCTCTGATGATATCGATATCAATTACGGCAAGTTTTGTCGACGTCTCCTACCCAGATAGTCACTCATCACCTTTGCAGTATACTATCGCATTTACTCATCAGAGGGAAAAGGAGATACAAAAGCAAAGACATCCTTTGACGAAAGTGATATTTCGTTAGGACGCATCAACCTCCTCTTCATCGCTCCCCCTCACACCGCCGGGTCTTTGAAAGCATGCATCGCGAAAGTTGAAGGCGTCGTCACCCCGGGTCATCCACTTTACAAGCACGTAAAACTCTTTGAGGACATGAATGGTGACACTGCCATGAGTGACACCGATGTCATATCCTTCCAAGGTGACACTTATCCGGGTAGCGATGCAGATGATCCCGTAGCCCTTGTCAAACCAGGTAAAGTTCTCAGAGTATCCAATAGACACTGCGGCAACAAACCGTGCTTTTTCAGATGGACCAGATTCAAAATTCACGAAACGCGCTCGGTTACGCTGTACTTACGGTGTGTAACAGTTCCTGAGATAATTCAATTCTCATCATATATGATCCTACCGCAGACTACCATAGCAGTAATTCTGCCTGGCTATCAATAACCAAAGATGAGGTTGTTTACACGGATGGAGTTAACGTCTCTGCGAGGTACTACCCTCACAACAGTATTTCTTTCCTTTCTGCTTCGTCACCAATTTGTTGATGCTTTGTTGTGACAGAGTCTTATCCAGCATACATGGTGATTAATTCCAATGGTGAAAAAGGCTGTGAGTCTCCAATTTGCCTTTGGGTTACTAGGTGGTTATTGATTTTCTTTGGCAGTTGTGGAAAAGGGTGAGTGGTCTCCTCCCTCTGTCGGAGTATTTGATATCCACCGTTTGCTAGAACGGATTGCTTTTTATTGATGGGTGAGCATCGGAGAGAATGTATACTTTCGGAATGGGATATGTCAGGTTGTAATATTTAGGCTTGGCAGAAGGGGTCGATGCACCGATCCCGTAGATCTGTTAACATGTAACACAAAAAACGAGGACTCACTGATCATGAAAAAAATGTATGGCGGCCATACATTGCAACTTGTAATGCCGACGGTTGACGCTTTCAAACATTCAGCCATGCTCAAAGATTCAAACGATACATACATAAGGTATAAGTAACTCAGATATATACACGAACAAAAAACCCAAAACGCTCGCATACGCGCGCATTTATATATTCAATTCTACGTCAGCGTCAGTCAAAAAGAGATCCTGCAAAAAAGTCGTAAAGGTCATAAAAGTCGTAAGGCTGAAGGGTATCTCCCGCCCTCAAATTGAGTCAACACTACCTCCCCCTCCTCCTCAACCAACTCCAAATCCCAAACCAGTCAACCTCCTCACAAGCACCTTCAAAACAACGGCACACACGCCAATGCCCACGAGCACGAGGTAACTCCCGCGTCCGCCTGTCGGTAGGTATAGATCGCGTCGGGCTTCCCAGTCACGTCGGGGTCTTCGGGTATGGGTGGGAGCGTTTGGCTTGGAGGAGGAGGAGGAGGAGGAACTTGTGATAGAGGAGGAAAAGAGGAAGGAAGGCGTCTTGTCGCCCAATACGTGAACGACAACAGACCGAAGAACAGTGATGGGTCATGAATTCGATAAAGTCGACGCGTTGGGAGCACCAAGTCGAGCATCACGCGTTTCCTCGAGCTCTTGAACCCGTTTACAACGTTCTTCAAGGGCGATTCCTCTCTGATCGAGCGCACGTTCTCGCTCATCAACCGCCTGCTCCGATTCCACAACCTTCTCCTACCCCTCGGACATCTTCCTCCCTCCTTTCAACCACCATCTCCCTCTCCTCCACCTCCTTCTCCCTCTCCTCCACCTCTTCCTCCCTCCTTTCAATCACCTCCTCACGTCACCCAACCGCATCCTCATGATACCCAACAGCCCTCTGCAACCCCCTAACCCCGTCCCCCCTCAACCCTCTCCTGTCTAGCCGCCAGCCCAAACTCACGTTGGTCTAGCGATTCTTGCCGGGTTGCGAGTGTTGCAAGGAGGTCGTGTTCTGTTGTGTGCGGGCTCCTGTCCTGAGCTGAAGCATCTCCAGAACCTAGGTCCTGAAACTGCCTCGAAACATCATGATACCCAACCAACGCCTCAACTCCAGTGCCTGAAAGAGCTGGGGGGGTCTACGAGATGTTGTTGTCCGTTATGTGGCAGGAGAGGAAGGGGACGTGCGTGTTGTTGGCCTGGACCCCCTATGGGGGGCATCTAACCTAAAGATGCTGTTGGGAGGAAAGGGAACGTAGAGGGATGGCAGTATCCAATTGGAGCTTGAGCGAATGGAAGGCCCGTGCCTGTGAAAGCGAATGGCGACCCAGAATGCGTAGAAATGGATGGCGAACCCGTGTTTGTTGAAGAAAACTGTGACACAGTAGAAATGAACGGAGACCCCGTAGGTAGTACCAACGGAGAGTGCGAGCCAGGGCCGGTATGTACAGAGTAAGTAGGGGCGCGGGTAAAACAGGAGACAGGCTAGGTGGGGCCATTTGATTCTTTCTTCTCCGTCCATCCGAGCGTCCCGCTCTATCCTTGTATAGGCACTCGGGCCACGACCAGCACCAGGGCTAGAACGAAAATGAACCATGGAGAGGACTAGGATAACGGCAGACAACGAGAATAAACCATGGGCTGCCCCACGCGACGGAAGAGTTTTGGGTGGATGCGGAATGTCGTTGGTCTTTGGTCGGATTTCGTTTCGTTGACTCTGATTCAATCAACTTGACCTCCTTCCTCCTCCCCTAATCATTGTTATCATTGAGAGAAGCCATGATACCTCCATTGCTATTTTGAGGTTGAATCGAAGCTGATGTTGCCGCTCCTCCTCTCCACATCAACGCTGATAGAGTTGGGAGAGGAATAGTTGTCTTGTAGACAATGAATAGGGAAGTTTTGGCCCGACTCGAACCCCCCGTATTCGGCGTCGAAAGATATTTTTGACAGGAGGAGCAGGAGGCGGAGAGGAGGATAGGATGGTGGATTTTGAATAGTTCAAAGCCTCGATTCAAACCAATTATTAGCACTAGGCAAAAATGAAAACAAAAAGAGAAAAACCAAGGAGAAGTAGAACAAATACCTGTCAAAATCACCCTCGTTCAAGAAAAAAAGTTTTCCTCGTTATCTTGACGAACGCAGTGATATCCGAGTCATACGTCAATTGGTCCAGAACCTCCCCAGCGCCAGCTCCGCGGAGGGTGGAAGAGATGTAGGCGGAAAGGTGTGTTGGTGACCATTTCTGCTGGTAACTCGAGGGTGGGTATGGTAGACAAGGAAGGATATCAGTATGGCGTACAGACGGTGCGGTCACAGGGGTCACACAGTTGAGCCGTGACGTCAACAATTTGTCTTCAAGTTCTTAAGATCTTAACTCCCATGTAACTGTCTAGATAACGACCATTGAAAGGCCTGCCTTGGACAGCTTCCCAAAAGTGTGAAGCGGCTTACTTAGATGGGGAAGTTCTGCACCTGCGGGGCTTGTAGACCGGCTTCAACTGCACGGTTGGATAGAGTTTTTTTTGTTGTGAGGTGAGTCACTACTTTCCGAGGCGAGGAGTCGGTGATAAAAACTCCCCTGCGTCATAACAACTTATGTTTAGCTAAGTTCCCATCGAACTTTTGAATCGATATATCGTGTGTTCATGTGTCTAATCCTGAATTGGCAGATCTTGTTGATAAGCGACATGTGAGTTCTTGAGCACTTGCTTAACGTACTGCACGAAATTTGCGTTCTGGCGCAAGGATTCTTTGCCGTCGGTGTTTACTTGCCTTCTTGCTTGAGTCTCCTACCAGCACGATATGGCCCACTGTACCGACAATGAAGCCAGCTAGTTTGATAGCGTACGTTTGGTGAAGCATTTTTCGTTGCATGTTGAGCTGACGTACCACTACCACAGAATTATAGGAGGGACTGGAAGTGGGAAATCGACAGTATGGGCTACTAATCCACTTCCACCGCCTCCAGTCAGGCCTCAGGGAGGTCGTTGACACACCAATCCAAGACAGGTTGTTGACGCCTCATGCAAAGTGTCGGGTTGTATGGCATCTTCGCATCCATACCGTGACCTTCTTACAGTGGCGCGCCTGGCAAATGTAATTTTTCTTATTGACTATGTGTGTTTCCCTCTACATATTCATTGCCGTCTCAAATGCCATTACCACTTAATCCCAAGTCCCAAAAATTACAATGACAGCCACCCATCCTCTAATAACTCCTGCGCACTAGGTCTCATCCTCGGATCCAACATCAAGCATCTACGCAAGAACTTGGCGGCGCCTAGTATCTCACTCTCATCCTCATCCTCATCGCCGACTTCAAGTCTAAGTTCTTGCAAAATGTTTTCGAGTGTGGTTGGAGCAAAATCGGTGTTTTTTGTGTGTAGAAGCGTGCCTGTGTGATTATAAGTTCACGTCGCTGAGGGGGTTATGGTGTTGAATGAACCTTTCTCATCAAAGTATTTCTCCCGATCCTCACACTCCCCAAGGAAATCAAGCGGGAACGGTCCTAATACTTCTATTATGTTTTGTAAATGGCGTTCGTGTGAGTAGTTATCGTGGTCTTGGTAGAGGAGGATGCGACTGGTGAGGAGCTCGAATACCTACATACATCGGATGCATTTTGTCAGTGATGGCGATATAGGTAGGGTAGCGAACGTAAACGTACAAGGCAACCGACAGTCCATATGTCAATAGCGGACGTCCAAGGATATCGAAGTGTAACTTCAGGTGCGCGGATGATATCTGGTTGACGGAGATGTTCTCTCCCCGGCTTGTCGATGGGCGTAGCTTAGTTATCCCATCATCATCGTCAAAGAAAAAAAAAGTAAAAGACAAGCTGACCTTCACTATAATCCACCAATCGCACCTCTACATCCTCAATAGAATCACAAAGGCTGAAATACGGTAAAGGCTGCGAACATGAGAACACGAGGGGCACTTTTAATGATGGAAGGGATAGAGGGGGGCCGTAGATGGCTGGAGGATCCTCCTTTAGGAATTGGCTTATTCGGGAAGAAGTTGGTGAGGGTATTGAAAGAAGGATGTTCTCGGATTTGATATCTTCCACATGAATTATTAGCGGTAAGATTCAAGAATGGGTGCAGGAATTGAAGACGCACCAGTGTGAATATACCCGCATTCACGATGAAGGTAATCCAGCGCAAGAAGTACCTGTTTCGTGATGCGCTTCACGATACGTAGGGGGAGGGGCCGATTCGTAGAATCCTCCCCTGGAATACGAAAGTTTTCTAAGCTCGTACTTAAGGCTTCCGTGACGAAACATATGTGACCCCGCCTCGCTCTTTGCAATGAAACAATGTTGGAACGTCAAACAGTGATTGAATCCCGGGCTGTTGGGGTTGTTTGATTGATTTTCTGGAATACGTCGTATTCTGTTGAATGTCCACCGACTATTTTTGTGCGGTGGCTTGTGAGGTTAGGATTTTTAAGGCGACGAAGGTTGTTGTCTCCGCCGACTGGTCGCTGTATTAATGTCTTAATTAAAAAACTAGCACAGAAACGAATTTTGAACAGCGAGCAACTCACAGCGCGAGCCACACGGCGGAGTTTGCAGCCCAACCCAGCTACGTGAAAAACATTTATGATCAAAACAGGGTTCAAAGACAGAGGGAATCGCAAACGAAGCGCACTTTGCGGACGAGCCGATACCGTTTTAACGAACGTCCAACTGCAGCAGAGGTGAAGTATCCAAAGCCCTCCTCGAACGTCGAAAGCAGATTTTCCTCCGGGGGCACGTCGGTTCCTCCCATCGCTTCGGCGAGGACCTTGGGATCGATTGTCTTGACATCCTGTTGAAAGGACGATCGTTCTTCAGGCATGCTCTAGGGGGGTGATGGTTGTCTGGAGAGCCTGGGTTATGAGGTAGTTTGAGGAAACGGCATGTCTTGTTTTTTGCCCGTCCCCTGATTCAAAACGTTGTTGACTCGGACGTCTTAGTATGTGACCAACGTGACAGCACCTCTTCAACGGAGGATCTTGAATCGATTGCAAGGGGCACTCACAACTTTGAAGAAAAAGTATTTGTTCCCATCAGCATGCATTCTTAGATCACAACCCAGGCTGATATCGACACGAACTATTAGCGCTCGGAGGTGTGGGGACATAGAAGGAGCATGCGCCAATGTCACCTTGCAACAAATAATAGCAATTTGTGAGTTCGAGATCATGTTTCTTTGGTATGCGTATTTTGCGTCGGGATAAGTTACATGTCGTTTTCTGGATTAGCGCTATCGAGTCGACTGAGCGAATCTTACTTATTTTGGTTGACGCGACGATATCAAGTAGTTGGGAGGAGGCATGGTGACTAGGCGGTTTGAGGGGGACGTCGGCGTGGTTGGTCTTCAAGATGTTAGTAAGATCTGGTAAGTTTCTGGAGAGGGACTGCGCGCCGATTACAAGAAATTGGTCGCTTCAGACGCGTGATTGATTAATTTTCGTGAGCGCACTCTGGCCTCAAGTCTAAATCAAATTGAAATCGTTCTAGAATCCACCGAGGCCGTACACGGTATATCCCTGACAAGATACTGATAGCGTGCACAGATAAATGAAGGAATGAGGGAAGGAAGGACTAACGTACTTATTCGTGAAATCTTTCACCCACCTGCCTGTCCAATCTATCTGGAAAGGAACCAATGTCGTAACATACATAATCAATTTCGTCAAGGCACTCACTCATGAGCGCTTATGCATGAGCGCTGAGTCTATGACATTCGCAAATTCGATGGTGCAAATTTAGAAAAGGCGTTTGAGTGCCAGTGCGGGAATGACGCGTACCGATGCCCATAGAACTGTATGGCCGTTCAACGTGGTGGGCCTTTCGATGGTTGTTATCTTTACAGCCATTACAGGCACACGGGCGCCTCTCCAGTCAGGGAGGTCGTTGACAGGTTCAGGACAAGTTGTTGACGTCACAGTGCAACGACGATGAGTATGTGACACAACGTGACAGCGCCTCGTCAACAAAGGGAGCATCCGCGACAACTTCAAGTTGAACTTGGTCGCAACGAATCGCGAGTCAAAACCATGGCATTGACATCAGATTCCCAACCACCCCCAAGTCGATCTCGTACATCTTCCACATCCACCTATTCATTCCCCCGCACCAGCTCACCTACAAAGGAGTCTACCTCCATCAAACCCACATCAAACGCGGTAAAACCAAACGCTCATCCATACGCTATAAAAACGACATCTACCGGCGTACTTTCGCGTTCTTCTTCCTCACCGCATCACCAAGTTCATAGTACCGCGCTTACGCAGCATCACTATGTACCGGCTACGCCTTCTTCAAGTGGTCAGGTGTCCCCGACGAAGTATAAGCCTCACAGAGAGAGCAGGCATAGATACAGTCGGAGCTTGACTTCGGAGGAACCCAAGTCTTTGCCTGTACCCCCTTCCAGATCCCCTTCTCCCTCACCCGCGCCCGGGGGTGCAGATGAAGAAGACGATAATACCCCGCGCATGCGTCCAAGGACGAAACGCGCTGATACCCTTCCTTCGTCTAGCATACCCACCCTCGAACTACCAGAAGACCCCAAAACGTGGTCACCGACACACCTAGCCGCGTACCTCTCCTCTCCTCTCCGCGGTGGGGAGGTTCCGACGCGTGAAATCGTTGCATTCGTTAAGGAGAGACAGATGACGGGGAAGATGTTTTTGAGGTTGAATGAGGGTGATTTGGAGAGGTACGTGTTTTTTCTTTTTCTCTTTGTTTCTCGCTACACAATGCTAATGACGATTTGATTCGAATGAAAGCTCCGAACTACCCAAACCCCATCAAGCCCACCTCCTCTCCGCCTCCCGCTCCCTCCGTCAAAACGCCCTCCGAGGCCGGATATGGGGTAGCCATAACTTCCCACAACACGACGATTTTTCCTCCAACTCCGCCAACGTCGACATGGGCAGGAGGAGCAGGAAGACAAGCGTCGATTCTTCTAATGCCAATGGGAACGGGAGAGTAAAAGACATGATAGCCTCTCTCGAACGACCTCCAAGCTCAGACGACGATGACGACTACGTGGGGAGGAGGTCAAGTTCACCGAATAAGAACCAACGCCATTCCACAACGACGGCTTATTCCCCTTCGAAAGAACCCGCTTCCCATTCCTATTCGTATTCTTATTCGCCAAACAAGACGCAGCGCGCACTTCCTTCGCGGGGGACCGTACATGATTTATTCTCCGTTCCCAGCCCTGGTGTTAGTGCTAGGGAAGACACGCGAACGGAAGGAGGAGAAGAAACTATCAAATCCCCACACCAACACCAAGCTCGGCTCCTACCTTACCCGCCCCTACTTACGCCCGTGCACACCGGCTCTACTCCGAATTTAATGGACGCAGCGGGGTTGTATGAGCTCGGATATCGGCTCCCTCTGCCTTTATCGTCCCTTCCAACAGGATCGTCAAGTGCCATTCCGATTCCCCTGGGCGTAGGCGGCCCAGGGCAACATGCGCGTCCGCTTCCTCTTCCACCACATACCGGACACCACCTTCCCATAGAGCCCCTGAAGAGAGAGGGCGTAGCGACGACGGTGACGGTGTCTGATTTTGGGAGTGTGATACATCATCCTAGACCCAGGCCTGGTGTTGGTGTGGGTGTTGAGGGGTTGGTTGGGTATTTCGATGTTCCGAGTGATGACGTTCCTTCTTCGTCTGATAACCTTCACCACGCTGGTGCTGCTCCCAAGTCAGAAACAGAACCCGAAACTAAACCCGAACCCGAACCCGAAACGGAGACGGAAACGGAAGGAGGGTACGACACTGCTCCATCTCCATCTCCGTCTGAAGGTGAGGACGAAGACGACGGACCGAGCGTGGCGGACCTCCTCCTGTCCCACCACCCTATAACAGGAGCAGAGGCGTGGGAGTTGGAGTTGGGTGAGACTGTTAAACGTGCTGGGTCTGCTGCTGGCGTTGGGGTTGTTAGGACGGGCAGGGGGATGAACTTGGTTCGTGCGGGTGTTGGTGAGGAGGAGAACGAGGGGGATGGAGGGAAAAGGAAGGAGAGCGCGAAAGACGAAGAAGAGAAATTAAACATAAACGCAAACGCAAATGAGGGGGGAAAGGAAATGGAAAATGAAGACGTGGGAGATTTAGAGGACAAGAAACCGGATTTATGGAGTGTTTTTGATCTTGAGCCGCCTCGTGGTGTGCGAGGAACGTTAGTGGGGTCTGTGGATGGTCCTTCAGCTGTGGATCTGGGTGCGAACGATGCCGTGGACTCACACTCTGCCGTGGACTCAAACTCCGCCGTGGACTCGCACCCCCTAGAGCCTCGAGATGTCGATGACTCTTCAGCTCTGGATCTGAGCCCGCACACAACAGACCAAGATTCGACAGAACACGACCTCGCAACTCGCCACGAAGCCCTAAATCAACATGAGCTCGCACTGGCGGCTCGACAGGCGAGGATTGAGGGGATGGAGGAGAGGGTTGGGGAGATGCAGAGGGCTGTTGGGTATCGTGAGGATGCGGTTGGGCGACGTGAGGAGGCTGTTGAAAGGAGGGAGCGAGAGGTGCAGGAACGGGAGGGGGCGGTTGAGAGGAGGGAGGAGGCTGTTGGGAAGAGGGAGCGAGAGGTGGAGGAGAGGGAAGGGAAGGTCGGCGTTTTGGAGCAAGCGGTCAACGAGCGGGAACGGGTACTCGATCAGAGAGAATTTGAGCTTGAGGAACGTTCCAAGCGGGTTGAAGAGCTCCAGGAAACGCGTGATGCTCTCAACGCGTCGACTTTATCGAATTCATGGCCCATCACTCTTTTTCGGTCTGTGGTCTTTCGTGTGCTTGGCGACAAGACGCCTTCCTACCTCTTTTCCTCCTCCTCCTCCTTCAACTCGAATGCTCCCACCACCACTACCCCTCAAAGAAGACCCCGACGCGACTGGGAAGCGCGACGCGATTTGTACCTATCAACAGGCGGACACGGGAGTTACCTCGTTCTCGTGGGGATTGGCGTGTGTGCTGTTGTGTTGAAGGTGCTTGTGAGGAGGTTGACTGGGGTTGGGATGTGGAGTTGGTTGAAGAGGAGGGGGAGGAGGTAGCGTTGACTCAATTTGAGGGTGGGAGATGCTTTGCGGTCTTATGACTTTACGACTTTTACGACTTTTCTAAGTTCTTCACGATCTTTTTTGACTGACGCTGATGAGGAATTCAATAAATGAATGTGAGCATATGCGAGCGTTTTGGGTTTTTTGTTCGTGTACATCCCTTACTTATTATACCTTATGTATCGTTTGAATCTTTGACTGGAATAGGGCTGAATGTTTGAAAGCATCAACCAGCAGTTCCAGCAGGCTTGTGTAACATATGAACATATCTATGGTACCGGTACGTCGACCCCTTCTGAGCTCAAGTCCTGACATATCCATTCTGAAAGCATACACCCCCTCAGATATTCACGAATCAATCAAATGATAGTCATCTAGCAAACGGTGGATATCAAATACTCTGACAGATGGAGGAGACCACTCGCCGTTCGGTACAACTGCCAAAGAAAATTAATAACCACCTAGTAACCCAAAGGCAAATTGGAGACTCACAGCCTTTTTCACCCTTGGAATTAATCACCATGTATCCTGGCCAAGACACTGTTCCGACAAGGCGTCAACAATCTGGTGATGGAGCAGAAAAGGAAAGAACTACAGTGGTTGTTAAGGTAGTTCTTGGAGACGATAACTCCATCCGTGTAGACAATCTCATCTCTGTTACAGCCGTTTTCATAACGATAGGCCAAAAGTTCAAAATTACAGATACAGTCGGACCTCGAATTCTAACCATGTCCACGAAAATCAGCATATATTTCAGGGATGACGAGCACGATAGATCTACAGTTATACTATGGTGCACCAGACTTAGTCACCACTACTTTTGTACAGTGGCCAATTAGGTTGGCAAATTTTTTTGAAAAATATATCTTTTTTTTTATGGGTGGAAATTGTTCCTCGCACATTCTGTTTGTCCAAAAAGATGCTTTACGTGGTTACTGAGGATTTTTAGACAACGGGTCACCCAATATTAGCTTGGTAAACCCTGACAGGGTCTACCCAAATATAGAAATTGTATACCATATATAGTAATCCGGCCAAATCCCAGCCGTCAAAGAATTTTATCTCCATCAGTTTTGATGCAAATAAAAATCGGTCTGGTAGTTTTGTTCGCCTTTGCAAAAGAAGCATTTTTACCAGAGGGATAAGAAAAAGGTGAAATTTTGGACCCTTAAATTTCTTTGTACAAAAGTAGTGGTGACTAAGTCTGGTGCACCATAAATAGAGTCATCATCCGACAACTTACACGTCCAATTTTAGATTCCGCCTGTATGTGTATTTGGTCGAGATTAGGCCTATCGTTATGAAAATGGCTGTAAATTTTAGCCAGGATGGATCATCTGGCTCTGGATACAATAGGATGAGAGTTACATTATCTGGGGAACTGTTAATATACAAACCCCAACAGCCCCGGATTCAATCACTGTTTGACTTTCCAACATTGTTTTACCGCAAAGAGCGAGGCGGGCCATCACATATGTTTCGTCACTGAGGCCTTGAGCACGAGATTAGAAAACTTTCGTGTGCCTGGGGAGGACTCGACAGATCAGCCACTCCCCCTGCGCATTGTGAAGCGCATCACAAAACAGGTTCTTCTCGCTCTGGATTACCTTCATCGTGAATGCGGGTATAAGTATTCACACTGGTGCGTCTCTTACCCTGCACCCATTCTTGAATCTTATCCATGCTAATAATCCATGTTGAAGACATCAAATCCGAGAACATCCTTCTTTCAATACCTGAACCAAAGGCTTCTTGAATAAGTCAATTCCTCAAGACAGTTCCTCCAGCCATCTACGGCCCCCCTCTATCCCTTCCATCATTAAAAGTACCCCTTGTTTTTTCATGTTCACAGCCTTTACCGTATTTCAGCCTTTGTGATTCTGTTGAGGATGTTGAGGTGCGGTTGGTGGATTATAGTGAAGGTGCGTGAGCAACATCTTGCCTTTTTTTGATGATGACTAGCTGATACCCATGCATCCGCACGGGTCTTTTGAGACTTCGGATTCATTCAAGCGTAGATATAAATTGAACTCAAAGAGATTCAGAATACTAAATACAAAAAAAGACATATAGGTTTAGGATTGAGGTTGAGGAGAAGGCAATGACAGGCTGTTCACTTCTGATCTGCATGCCTTCTTCAATGTGCTGGGAGTTACCTGACTGAAATCAAACCCAAAAGGAGTCATCGTAAGTTTGAATTCATAATTGGAATTAGTAAGAAATACTCGAAAGAAAGCAAAGGATAGAATCTGCAAATTGAGCAGGAGTGAGAGGAACAGCTGTCCCAAGATATTGACTACTTACTTGGAGGTCGTTGCACCTGCTCCTGGGGTGAAATAATTTGATGATTGGTACCAACCGCCATTTGTGTAGAAGGTGGGGGGTTGACAACAGTGCATGATGAGGAAACGGAGCAAGTGGCATCTGAATAAGGGGAGATGAGGCTCAGTTTGCACCAAATCATTCAGCACTACACACCCTGTTCGCTGTTGCAACCCTCCTCGCTGGTCCTTTGGAGACACATTGACCTGGGACATGACTTTCATCCTGGGTATTGCAGGTAGAATGCCTATCTTGAGGGTCATTGTGCCGAGTTTCACTGTCTGATAGGTGTGATTTCATCCCTGCTCTCTTGGCAGCTCCGGGATGAGGTGTAGGTGTTTCAGGTCTTGGCGCAGGAGTGCGATGTGAGCGAGGGCTCTCATTCGCATTGGCGTGTCATTGGCGAAGTCCAAGTCCGATTCTGCTGTCGTTGCAGTGTATTGGGAATTTCATCAGGCCTAGTGAACAACATATGAATTTCTGCCAGTGGACAGAAGAGTAAAATACTCACATATCGATCACTGGTGAGCAGAGTGAATATTGTATATTGTTCAAATCTGGTTCGCAACTTGGACGTGCTACCCTCATGATCATATGCAAGCAGTGACCCAGTAGTCCAAACATTCCAGAAGATGCTGGGGGTGCTCGCTGCAGCATTGTCAAAGATTGTAGGGCTCAAGGAGCACTGGAAACACGACAGGAGGCGACATGTTGCTCGTAGATTCACACATGATGGGAGCTCACTCAGCAAAACAAAGAAAATGATCCAGATTCAACCGTAATACACACATTTTCTTAGTCTAATGTTTCAAGGGCAGATAGTAGTAGGAGGAGGGGTGAAATGGTCAGAACAGAAGGAAGGTGCAAAGCTGAAGTGTCGAAGGATCGTGCTCGAAGAAGAGGTTTCTTTTCCCATGGGCAGTAGAAGGCGACGCAAGCAAGAGGTAGAGTCTAGAGATGGTCCTAACCTGCAAGTCCTAGTACCCTCTCACGTTGAACACAGCGAGGAGAAGTAACGGTAAATGCAAGGCTGCCACTGGTCCATGGATGTGGTGAATGGCGCACTGATTGTAGTTACGTAAGGTTTGTCTTCAGGGTTTGTCCTCAGGGTTTGTCTCCGTGAGAAAGATCAAAACACCACTTCCAATTGTTATAATAGATGATGGTGATGGAGATGGTGGGATAAATGAACAGCCACGCCCGTCGACGCGCCGGGGAGAGACCATCTCCGTCAACCATCTATCATCCGCGCACCCGAAGTCACACTCCGATATCCATGGTCGTCCGCTATAGTCTCGTTCCCATCCGTTGTGGTGGTCGGCCCGACGGACCGTCGGAGATTCAAAATACACTGCAGAACGACCACCAGAACGTCTGGTGCATTTGGTAGGCAAAACCACCCATCGAGTCACAGCGTGACAAACGGTAACACATTCACTGGTACCGCTAAGTACGCCAATTCTACGTTATGGACGTTCCGATGCGCAAAACGTTGTTTCCGACCTTCCACGACTGACCAATCCGACGCGACAACCCTCCCCTTTCGATGACCTTCTCGTTGCCCTTGAGCTTGAACATTGAGAGTGACACAGCTGTCGATGCAAGAACTTAACATCAGTTCCCTTCCACCTGGCGCCCATCCCCCTCAAGCGGAACTATCAGCAACATCAACCTGGCTGGCCAAGACGGCTCTTCCTCTGATCCCCCTCTGATCCCCCTCCAAAGCATCCCCCGTCGACTCTCCCTCATTGTCAAACTCATCACCACTTTCAACTCATGATCACTACTTTCAACTCATGCAGTCCTTCACCAGGTGTCCAATCCCCCGGCACACAATCCAAACACCTATTCCCATCAGCCCAAAGGTCCCGAGGAACGACGTCAGCTCTAACGAGTCCAATGACCCAATTACTCCTATGATCTACCACATGTGATGCTGACGTCACGCTCACATCACAGTTCCTTAACGCATATAAATCTTCTCTCTATATTCCTCCATTTTGGATTGGGTCAGTGTTGGGTGATGGTAGGGAGGGGAAGGGGGTGTTGAGAGGATGGGTTACTGGGAGGATGGGTTGCTGGGAGGATGGGTTGCTGGGAGGGAGTGTTTTGGGCTATGTTACACCTTGGCTCCATCTTGGGCTCCCTAGGCTGGCTGGTATAGAGCACACTTTTTTCATCATAGCTGCTCATAAAGACAAACACTACAATTACTGTATTACACTGCGCAAAAAATCACAGTTTGTAACAGGTTTTGTGTGTGCTGCCTACACGAAATTGTTACGTCTTGTCACGCTGTGACTCGATGGGTGGTTTTGCCTACCAAATGCACCAGACGTTATAGAGTGTTCTTCGTCGTGTGTTTTCACACTCCGACGGTCCGTCGGGCCGTACACTCTATAGCGGATGGGGACGAGACTAGTCCGCTATTGACATTTGGACCGTTCGCAAATGGTCAATTTGAACTGAAGAACACGACCCACAGCTCTAAAAATTTTGTGTATGAGAGAAGATGTATGTATATACATATCGTATAAATTAAAATGGTGTATGGCTACCCTTTGCCTCTAAAATTGCCGTTACTTGCTCTTTCATCGTGTCATGGTGCTCGGTCACTTTTTGTGACACCGAGTACGTTACCTATATCGCTTCCACTGATACTGATACTGAATTAACGCATCCGATGTAGGTATTCGAGCTCCTCACGAATCGCATCCTCCTCTACCAAGACCACGATACCTACTCACACGAACTCTATTTACAAAACATCGTTGAAGTGTTAGGACCGTTCCCACTTGATTTCCTTGGAGAGTGTGAGGATCGGGAGAAGTATTTCGATGATCAAGGTCCTCATTTTTTCCCTCAGCGACGTTACGATTGATGGACTTATAATGACATAGGCACGCTTCTTCACACAAAAAACGCCGATACAATTGCGACGACTACACTCGAATTTGAAGACGTTATGCGAGAACTTAGGCTTGGAGTCGGTGATGAGGATGAGGATGAGATTCTAGACGCCGCTAAGTTCTTGCGTAGATGCTTGATGTTGGATCCGAAGATGCGGCCGAGTGCACGGGAGTTATTAGAGGATGGGTGGCTTGTATTGTAACATTTGGGCCCAATGCTTAGAGGTAAACATAGTGCGACGATTCTAGGGGAAGAAATACATCTGCCAGGCGCGCCAGAAGGGTATGGATGAGAGAATTTCACCGGCTCAATACTTTGGCATGAGGCTTGGACTCTATCATGCGCAACTTCAAGTTGGAGATAGAAACTAGGCTAGTGCAATAACGTTTGCATTTCCGACCGTAAAATGAAGGGAGTGTGGGGGTACCTAGTAAATTCTAGTAGGTGGAAATAGAAGGGATCAAAGGAGCGGCTGGCGCAACGGCCTCGACTGTTGAAGAACAACTTAACCATAACATCGTGTATTGACTTGCAAAGGATGCGATGAATCAAGGATCCCTAGATTTTCGATAGAGGAGCAAGAAAAGGAAAAGCAACCAAGACTTGAAGTGATGAGGAGTCATCTTCATCTCGGAGCGTCCGAGTCCAGGAAAGTGAAATGCCGGAACTGTAATATCGGCCACCCCATCCCGCGACCCCGTGTGTTGTCAGAGTAGAGTTTGGAGATGGAGCCCGGTAAAGGGAGGGAATTCGGCTGAAGCCCTGGTAGAAAGGTAGATGGCTAGTATTAAGAAAGCTTGCGGTGGCTCGTAGCTGCGAAATAAGACGATTTGGCTGCCGTGACGTGGCGAAGACCTTCTTGGTCAACAAAAGGTCCATACGCGCTGGAAAGCCCTCCCTTGGTAGAGCCGCTGCTTTTGGAGGTCTGATGCTTGCGGCTCGGCTGGTTTCATTGAGGACGACGAACAGGACTGGACCTCCACTGCCGTTTTGAGCGGATTTAGGGAGTATATGTGATCTCCCGCCAGCGAAGAACGACGCCGCAGGGGGGCCAACGGCCTTCAACTTCTAACTCCGGCCAAACCGTAGCATATATGGTATTCAACCAGAATTGCGAAGATGACGAGGATTCGACGCACCAATATAGAGAAACCACGAGATTCGTCGTCGCCCCCCACTCCGACAACCAGGTTTCGAGATCTGTTGAGGGTCTTCGATGCAACACATAGGCATACGCTCATTTACCGATCTACGGCAAGGTGAGAATTGGAGCTTCAAGTAGACGTGATTCAGGACGTGGGTAATGGATCCTGCAGAGGAGATATGAGACTATCCTACCGTCACAGTCAGCGTTTCTATTGAAGCCAGCGTAAGAATCACAGCGGCTTACCACTGACGACCAGGCCCATAACCCGGTGGGCGTCCTAGCAGTTGATTACTTGAATCGGGCATTTCCACGAGCCATAGCTTGTATGCGGAAGCACTGCACATGCTGTGTCCAGACAGAGGTAATCGTATCCATAGATTAAATGAGGAGAGTACTTGAGCGCTTGAGCGCCAAGCGATCATGCACATGACTGGAAGTCCGAAAAAGGGGAGTTATTTACTTTAATTTACTTCGATACAAACAAACAAACCACACGTTGTCTTCTGAGCGCCTAGCAATCTTGCTTCTAACCTTCATCTTGCAGAACCGAAACAATGAATACAACTTCGAACGCGAACACCGATCCTACGTTAGTCCCTCTATTTTTGTTCCACCTTACATCTTCACCAACGTTCGACCACCCATTCCAGTATTGCGTCCTCCGATCCCGGGATCGCGATTGAGATCAAAGGCAAGGTGGACCGCCAGCTCGGATGGACATTGACTGAATTGCCGTCCCGCTGCAGACATCAAAGTCAACAATATACCTCAGGGGCCGCTTCGTCAACACAAGCATTATGTACAGTTCACTGTTGGTGGAGATACACAGGAAACGGGAAAGAGCGACATGTCGGCGGATCCAGCGTGGTCCGACACGCTTTCATTGTGTGTATTATTTCTTCTACTTCAAGCTGTGTTGAAATTCTTATCGTCACCAAGCAATACCTCACAATCATCCGATCTAATTTGTCGGGTTTACAAGACTCCCCGTCGGATTGGCCGGGCCTTTGCTCATGGGAATGAACTTATAGGAATAATGAAAGAAGAAATTCTCTTGCTGCTCGGGGGAGCTTCGTCTAAAGGTTTGTCTGTGTCTTCTCATTGTAGACTTTGATTCTCTAACTGTCTATATATCTAGAAATTAGTCGCCTTCTGAATAAGCCAAGTGACCCAGGCTTGCCAATGGGAAACACCATCATTGAGTTCTCTATATCCACTTTGGAACATAGCTTTCCAATCTTGAGCCCAATTGTAAGAGGTCTTTGCTGTCCTTGAAAAGATTATCTAACAGCCTAAAAGCTTTCTATGGCTGCTGATCCCACAACTCAAGCTATTTTGGATATCAGTCCTGCTTTAGAACTGGCTGAGGTTGCTCATATGAAGATGAAAACTGGCCCTCAGAATACTGTTTCTGCTCTTAACATTGGTGTTGATATAGTTGCTTCAGACTCTTTCTCTACCAACTATGGTTTGCTTGTTGAGCATATTCAAGCTTTCATTAGAATTGCAGACAAGTTATCAGAGGTAAGCTGTCAATATTCCTCATAATTTAGGATTCCAATTATTATTCTCAATATAGTTTCACCCATATATCAAGGCTGCATGGGGCATACTGTCTGTCATTCCCAAGGTTTGTCAAGTGGTAGAGTGATCTTTCATTTACTGAATCTTATAAATTTGTCAGACCATTTTGCATCAGATTGACTGTGATGGTAAAATTACTGATCTTGTCCAAGATATGCAAGCCTTGTATGCATTCCTCAAAGGAACAGATCCATCCAAGTATGATGAACCACAGAGGAAGATTGTCACATCTTTAGCCCAGCAAACCATAGAATGTGGCTATTTCATTCGCCAATATGCTAGTGATCCCAACTTTTGTAAGTTATATTTTATTTTCTTGTGTTGATTCTTATCTCTTTGCCTTTTCAAAGGGAAGAGAACTGGAAAGAATTTAATCTCAGATGCAGACCAGAAAATTGAAAATTTCCAGGATCAATTCAAGAAGTTGAAATTGGCTTTTACTCAGCATGCTGTTTGTGAGACCCAACTTATAGTTCTGCGAGTTGTCAACACTGTGGACAAACTGGGTAAATCATATTGTTTCCTCAAGATATTTTGATTAATGTTTGGAGTTTCAGATGCAACTGCAGATCTCAAGGACATGTACTATGCTAAGAATGCTCGGTTTGATTCAGACAAGCAGTGTCTTCCTGGAACTCGTGTAGCCTTGATTGATGAACTGACAGACTGGATAAATAGCCCAGATGGTGAGGGTACACCTCGCATACTCTTCTTTAGTGCTGCTGCAGGGTTTGGAAAATCAGCCATTGCTCATACCATTGCTAAGCATTTTCACAATCTGGGTCGTCTGGGATCTTCATACTGTTTTGATCGAGCTGATCAGGCAAATCGAAGCATAAGATATCTATTCAGTACTATCTCTCAGGATCTTTCTGATCTAGATGCTGCCTGGAAATCTGCTCTGTGCTCTGTTGTTACTGGAAATCGTGCTTTGTGCTCTACTTCGGCAGTAAAAGAGCAGTTTGACAACTTCATTGTAAAGCCTGCTGCAGCTTTGACTACTGTGGGGCCTATTGTCATTGTGATTGATGCTCTGGATGAGAGTGGTAGTCACATTGAAAGAAAACCACTATTAGATATACTTATTGGCAGAGCTGCAGAGTTACCTAAAAACTTTCGGATTCTGATTACTACACATCTTGAACCTGATGTTTCTAAGGCTCTTCAGCCAGTATACCAACATTCATATATCAAGCACAAGCATGTGGATGCTGCAGAAATGGAGAATAAGCTTAATGAGCTTGATCTTTCTCTTTACATTGAACATAAGCTGTCAGACATAAAATCTGGGCTTGAAGCCAGATGGCCAAATCATGAATGGTGCAGTCTGCTTGTGAAAAGTTCAGAAGGCCTCTTTCAGTGGGCAGCTGTTACATGTCATTATATTATGAATCCATATGGAGGCAAGCTTCCATATGAGCATCTGGAATCTTTTCTTGAGACCAGAAGTGGCTTAGATAATCTGTATCATGAAGTTCTCAATCAAGCTTTTCAAGGAAATGATTCAAAAGCCATGAACAGATACAGATCAGTTATGGGAAGAATTTTAACAGCAAAAGAACCACTACCTTTATCAACTTTGTCAAAAATGCATGTAGACAAACCAGCATGGATGGATGAGATAAAGGCAATAATTGGACCATTGGGTTGTTTGCTTTCTGGGATCAATGCGAATGATGTTGCAATAAAGCCATTGCATAGCTCCTTTTATGACTACCTCACATGCAATTCACGAAGTGGGGAATTCTTTATCAATATTGATGAGGCTGAGAAAGAATTTGCTATCACAACTCTACACATACTTAGGACAGAGCTTCACTTTAACATATGCCAACTGCCTACATCATATAAAGCAAATGATGATCCTGAAATTAATATACTGGGGAAAGTCAAAGAAAAGGTCTCATCTCAACTGATTTATGCATCCTATTTTTTTGCAGCCCATCTTTTGTGGGTGACATCTAGTATTGAAGTTCTGGAAGGTCTTCACCACTTTCTATATAATCAATTTCTCTATTGGTTAGAAGTGTTGAGTGTTACAAGTAAAGTAAATATTGCACATGACATACTTTCTTCATTATTACACTGGAAAAAGGTGCAGTGATTCTGTGAACACCTCTATAAATTGTCTAACTTATTTTCAGACAGATGTAAATGCCAGAATGTTCATTGAGGATGCTATGAAGGTTGTAACCACCTTTTTTGAACCTATAGCTCATAGTGCACCTCATATATATATATCTGCTCTGCCAATGTTGCCAAGCACCTCTGTGATTGCAAAAATGTATTCTTGTCACTTTACTCAGGTAGTCCATGTGACAAGAGGAGAACAGAAAATATGGCCATCCATCAGTAGTATTTTGCAAGGCCATGTGGGGGAAGTTTTGTCTGTAGCATTCTCACCTGATGGAAAGCACATAGTTTCAGGGTCATTTGACAGAACTATCAGATTATGGGATCCACAAACAGGAAAGCTTGTCTTAGATCCATTTGAAGGCCACACAGACCATGTCACCTCTGTTGCATTCTCACATGATGGAAAATACATAGTTTCAGGGTCATGGGACAAAACTATCAGATTATGGGATGCAAAGACAGGAAAGCTTGTCTTAGATCCATTTGAAGGCCACACACATTATGTCACCTCTGTTGCATTCTCACCCAATGGCAAATACATTGTTTCAGGGTCATTTGACAAAACTATCAGATTATGGGATCCACAGACAAAAAAGCTTGTCTTACATCCATTTGAAGGCCATACACATTATGTCACCTCTGTTGCATTCTCACCTGATGGCAAATACATTGTTTCAGGGTCATTTGACAAAACTATCAGATTATGGGATTCACAGACAAAAAAGCTTGTCTTACATCCATTTGAAGGCCATACACATTATGTCACCTCTGTTGCATTCTCACCTGATGGAAAATACATTGTTTCAGGGTCATTTGACAAAACTATCAGAATATGGGATTCACAGACAAAAAAGCTTGTCTTACATCCATTTGAAGGCCACACATATTATGTCACCTCTGTTGCATTCTCACCTGATGGAAAATACATTGTTTCAGGGTCATATGACAACACTATCAGATTATGGGATCCAAAGACAGGAAAGCTTGTCTCAGATCCATTTGAAGGCCACACACATTATGTTCCTCTGTTGCATTCTCACCTGATGGCAAATACATTGTTTCAGGGTCATGTGACAAAACTATCAGAATATGGGATCCACAGACAAAAAAGCTTGTCTTACATCCATTTGAAGGCCACACATATTATGTCACCTCTGTTGCATTCTCACCTGATGGAAAATATATTGTTTCAGGGTCATCAGACAAAACTATCAGATTGTGGGATTCACAGACAGGAAAGCTTGTCTCACATCCATTTGAAGGCCACACACAGGCTGTGACTCTGTTGCATTCTCACCTGATGGAAAATACATTGTTTCAGGGTCATATGACAACACTATCAAATTATGGGATACAAAGACAGGAAAGCTTGTCTCACATCCATTTGAAGGCCACACAGCTTATGTTGCTCTGTTGCATTCTCACCTGATGGCAAATACATAGTTTCAGGGTCATGTGACAAAACTATCAGATTATGGGATTCACAGACAAAAAAGCTTGTCTTACATCCATTTGAAGGCCACACAGATATGTTGCCTCTGTTGCATTCTCACCTGATGGAAAATACATCGTTTCAGGGTCATGTGACAAAACTATCAGATTATGGGATTCACAGACAAAAAAGCTTGTCTCACATCCATTTGAAGGCCACACAGGATATGTTGTCTCTGTTGCATTCTCACCTGATGGAAATACATAGTTTCAGGGTCATGGGACAAAACTATCAGAATGTGGGATTCACAGACAAAAAAGCTTGTCTTACATCCATTTGAAGGCCACACATATTATGTTACCTCTGTTGCATTCTCACCTGATGGAAAGTACATTGTTTCAGGGTCATGGGACAAAACTATCAGATTGTGGGATCCACAGACAGGAAAGCTTGTCTCACATCCATTTGAAGGCCACACAGACCGTGTTGCCTCTGTTGCATTCTCACCTGATGGAAAATACATTGTTTCAGGGTCATTTGACAAAACTATCAGATTATGGGATTCACAGACAGGAAAGCTTGTCTCACATCCATTCAAAGGCCACACAGACTGTGACACCTTGCCTGACATCATTTCCAAATTAAAAGATGACACCAATAAAATTTGCAAGGATTGTTCTGATAAAAATGGTCTGTTTCCACCTCTTTCAATTCTATAATATATCATTTATGTTTACTTTTAGACTTTTCTATTCTTAACCAATCTCACCTCAAATCCACTGGATGGCTCTGCACACATACAGAAGATCTATTACTTTGGATACCACCTTGGCACAAATCAGGCCTTCAATGGCAACCCAGACAACAACTTGTCATTGGAACCTATACTGCAAAGCTTGTTTTTGATGAATTTGTATCAGGAACTGACTGGCACTTGTGCAAGACCTTTCCATAGCAGGTTTCCAGTGGTTAAATATCATTCAGCATTTTACAAATATAGCTACAGTTACTGGGCCCTTGACTTTTGAAAACACTGGAACTGCAGACAGATAGAGTGTGTCATCAGTGTATCTTACCTTGGCTTTCTTCATTTGATTACTGAAAGAATCTGAATATGTCCATACATATTTCAATTGTATACAGAGATTTGAGTCTGAAATTATATGTACTGCATCATGATAGGTGTATTTCTTTAGGATAGAAAGAAAATTTATTGTAAGACATGGACCCAGAGATATGAGAAGATATTGAAGCAAATACATAGGGCAAAGATTTATCAGAAAGCTCCTGGAGCCCTATAATGATTTTAAGATTGTTGAAGTTCACGTATCAATTGTGTAGCATTTAAATTAAAGAAGAGAAAGAGTTCTTAAATTGATAGGTAACTTTGCAATCTTGTGTGCGAATAATCCTTATTCAGTTATCATTCAGGACTCCTGAAGATGTTTGAATATTTATCACTTAATAGAATGCCCTATTTGATTAGTGATAAGTGTAAGAATTATTTATACAACCTGTACAAATATTTCTTAAGGTTTTAAAATGCACATGAGTATGTGGGGTTAAATCAATAGATTGGAAAAGTCGAAACTGTACATCTTGTAGTTCTACATCTTATATACTTGTTTCCATAACTGCTGGAACCTTCCTCAGACTTCCTTTCCTTTCTGGTGGTTCTTGATCCGGTGACTCAAACTTATGCATCTTGACGCTTGAACTCATTTCTTGTATGTCTTCTGATTTCCAGACAGTGTTGTGATGTGACTGTATACATGTGTCTTTCTGACTCATGTTGTGATCAAGAAAGGTGGACAGTGGTGAGTCATTTGGTTCTAAGTTGAAATAGGTTGAGCCATTGTCTAGAAGTATGTTTGTTTGAACCCGGAGATCTAATCATACAAACAAAGATCCTTTGGTTTTAAACAAATATAAACTTCATGTCACATCCCAATGCACTTCACATATTTAATACTACATACTTGCTAAGTAGAATAATGACCATGTAAGAAGCATCATAACTAGGTAGAAATGATATGTACTATAACATGGCCCCCCCAGTCTGGATGTATGTAAAATGTGGAATTTGGTAATACAAGATATAAAACATTACTTCAAATGGAGAGATTCTTCAATTTCTTGGTAAGGTCAGATCCTCCAGTAGTGTTGAACTCCTTAACTAGAGGGTAAGGTTCAGGCTTGTAAAGGAGACAAGTATGCATGCAGCGAATGGCTTGTGTATTGGAAGCGTGGGTAGCACAGTTCAAAATGAATTTGAAGTCTTTGAGGAATGTATGAGTTCGAGAGACGAAATTCAAACAGCAACACAAGCATACCTTTCCTAGCGGTAACAGTGTCTAATTTTGAACAAACCCAGAAAGAGTGTTCCAGTACAGGTTTCCTAGAATGATAGGGTGAATCCTACCAAGAAATTCCTCAAAGGTTAAGCCAAAATAGCTCCCAAAGTTCTACTTAGAACCTTGTCCTTGTATAATGCTAACCCTAACCACCTCTGAAATCCATCCAAACAGAAAATTAGCAATGTTCTGCAATTTCTTGAACATCTTAAAGATGTTTGCAACACTGTAGAACTCTAGAGCAAGTGGGTTGATGCTAGAGAAAAGGGTGCCCCAGGAGGTAACAGGATCTGGCATGCTGAGAGAGGCAACAGTGTTTGGGAAGATTAAGAGGAAGTGGCATAATGTTGATATTGGGGTTAAAATTATTGCCTGCACAATTGATGACTTGTATAAGTTTCTTAATGATGCTAAAAAGGGAACCAGCAAGGTTGTCAAAGAGGGTGTAAGTGGTGCATGCGTCATCATTCAAATGCACTGTGATATTGATGAGACTAAGTTGGTAGTTGAGTACACAACTGTATGGAACAAAGAACGAAGGAATGGATTGCCAAGAATAGTGTTGAGGTGAGCAGATCCAGATTGTGGAGCAAGAATAAAAGTGAGGGTAGGCATAGGGTCAAAAGTCGACATAGTGGATAGGACAGACATGTTGAAATGTAATATCATATGAATTTTGGGATGGTAAGTTGACAAGGTCTCAGGGGGCGAGTTTAAATAGAATCCAAATTGTTTATGGCCAGTACTGCTCTTTGTGACCATGCGCCTGTCAGGCAGCAATATCTGCCTTGTGGTCCTTTGTGGTTTTCGAGTTCTTTGTAGCCTGCCAGTGAGCCAAGAGTTATGGGGCATTCCTCAAGTTTCTAGGAGGTAGCCACTCATCAAAGTCTGGGCTGTAACCCATAAAGTGTACCTTGAATTCTCAAGTGCACCTGCCCACTCTAGTTTTATGCAGTCTCTCCCCAATGATGGCCTCGACTTCGAATTCTGGGAGCTCATTAAAATCTTGATGATTCAATCATTTAGTTGGTCAATCACCAAGGGTGGGGGGCAATGACTTGTATTCTTCAAGGTGGGTGATGTTGATAATAGGGTGAATTCCATAAGACACCGGAAGATGCAACTGATAAGTCACTGGACTTAGCTTACAGATGATCTCAAACAGCCCATCATACCTCATTAACAATTCACTTCCTCTTCCTTTTTTAGTTTTAAGTAGATCTAGAGAATGAGGATTAAGAATGACCAAATCTCCCTCATTAAATTCCTTGATTGACCAACCTTTATTATATGCTTTCTGTTGATGGACTTGGGAAAGCAGTAATGCTTCCTTTGCTTGTGTACAATTGCCCTCAAAATTCTCCCACATTTCCATGGCCTTCTGATTGAATCCTTCTCCAGAGTCCCAACCAGAGGGTCGAGGAATATGTGACAGTGGGTTGATCAATGTATTGGCTGTGATTGGTGCAAATCCATGCAAAAGATATGCCAGTGCGAAGGTTGTTGCAGTATGAGGGGAGGAGTTATAGGCCAGAGAAAGAGGGTCAAGGTGCTGTTCCCAATCATTCCTTGATGGTCCGATATAAGCACGTAGGGCAATTTCAATGGTCTGGTTCAAGATTTTGATTTGTCCATCAGCCTGGGGGTGATAAGCTGTAGTCAATGATCTCTTTGTACCCACCAAACGACAAATCTCACCCCAAAAGTCATTGTGCTATCTTGAGTCACGATCCGTAATTACTTGTTGGGGTAGTCCGTATTGAGTGATGATATGCTTAAAGGTTTAGCGGTCTCTTCCTTGTTTATCTTGGTAGAGCAAGGAATGAATATACTGTACTTTCAGCCTAGGCTGTACTAAATTACCAAAAAGCCCTGTGTACACACACAAGGTCCTATAGCCCAGGCCATGCAATGATGCATTCTCTCAATAAGCAATCTTTTGTGCATTCTGTTTTTATAAATGTTGACCTTCTGAATTTCGAAAAAAAAATTGGTTTTTGTCAGTAAATTAGCCCCTGAAATAGGTTTTTGTTCCACAGAAAAGAATCACAGTTCTTTGGATTGTTTTGGGATCAAAATGTGATTCTTGTTTTGATTGTTGTTGGTTCTGCCATCAAATATCATCATTTTGATGTAATACTGCTGTTCCGCCATCAATATCAATCCACTATCCATTAATGACAGGCGGAAGATGTGTTTACTTCTGTTGACACGTCTGCCATATGATTTCTGTCCTTCCATGCTCATATATTTGTTGTACTCATATGTTTGTTGTTATTTTTCTTTCTATTTCACCTGGGGTGCTCAGCAGGCGTGCCACACCAGTATGTATATCTTATCATTGGCTAAACTACTGATTAGCTGTTGCCTAGATGTAATCTATGCCACAGGGTGAACGATGGCAAAATGGTGTTGCAGAGCGACGCTTGTGTGACTTCAACTTGAAGTTCAACAAAACATCATGTGACTGCTGTCCCTCCCTCCCCTTTTTTTGCGAAAGATCCTCAGAGCTTTCTCAGAGTGCAAAATCATTGTACTGGTTAGGATACACTGAAATCTTTTTGTTTGAAATTTTCTGTGTCACTCACCATCATAATTTATGTTTTTACAAGCTCATTTCAATCTTTAAGTTCAAAGATGAGGGCCCAGAGCTCCAACATTTGTAACAAGAAATTTTATACAACAAGATACGATATGACAAGAAGATACAATATGAAAGATACAATACAATGAGATGGTAATTATCAAAGTTCAAGACACTAGCAAAAAATAGATAGGTGGAGATGAATAAACAGCAGGCAAGTGGCTTGATTCCATGCACTAGACTTTGTGCTTCTTGGAAGGGGTAGTGGCCAGCTTCTGAGGAACGAGATTCGAGCGTGCACACTTTATGGAAGACAAAGCAGTGGGCTTTTGAGGAATGAGACTAGAGTGGTGTCAAATAGTGTCAAGGCGGATCAATACTAATAACGAAATGTACCTTGATGAGCTCGAATCTGATGAGCCTAGAACCCCAGACAAAGCCAAGCTAACATCCTCCACAGTGGCCACCCATCCAGCATTGGATGAACAGTCATCTCCAAGGGTAGTGACCCACCATACCACAGTTGCAAGAATGGTGTACCAGCCATTCTGCCCATGCCAACGGAGACAGGCCCATCCATCCTCCACATGCAAATGGCCATGATGAGTCGCATTCAGGAACCCTTCCACCTCAGTTGTTCCATGTGCAATGGGTTGCAAACCCTTCCACCATGCCCACCATGCCTTCTTGAATGCTGGCAGCTGCACTTCAGTCACCCATTTTTGGGTACCTATGAGGTTATCCAATTCTTTGAATTAGGGAACCTTGGAGGTAATTCCAGACTGGTATGACCTCCATACCAATTCCACCATACCATGGTATGGAAACCACATACCATTCCATATCAGAACATACCATACCATACCATTCCACCTCATACCATACCTGGTATGAGGTGGAATGGTATAATGGAATTGGTATGAAGGTCATACCACTCTGGAATTGGGTACCTTCAAGGTTCCATAATTCAAAGAATTGGATAACCTCATAGGTACCCAAAAATGAGTGACTGAAATGTATTTTGTAGTCTATCTCTGTGAACACTACAGATTTTGTAGTGTTGTGTCTTTCATTTTCAAACACATCAGTGTTTGATGTGTACGTGGAGTTAGCCAATGTAGCTATTCTTAGCTTGGCATGATCTCACGTGTTTCTTTTCTACAGCCCGGCTACCAATTTGACAGATGGCATCATATAATGATTAATGTTTCCTGATGTGTTGATGCACATGCATCCATGTTACCAATAGCCTTTGGCCTTTCGTTGTTTCTGAGTTTTTATTGCTGTTTTTGAAATAGTTGGCACAGCTGCAATTACGTCACAACAAAGTCTCAAATCACTGTGAATCTTCAAACATGATTTTCTCTGTAAATACTTAGTGTAGAGACATAATTTATAGTGTTTTGGAATTGTCTCGGCGAGCTCTAGGTTGCCCCATAGTTTATTTTATAAGAAAACGAAATCTACATCATATTGCTGCTGGAGGCTAGGTAGGGACAGTGCTGAGATTGCTGCAAGGATTTCTCCACCAATACCTAACTTAAAGCTATGATTTTGGGTGCGTTAGAATCAAATAGTATGCACCTAGGTTGCCCCATAATTTATTTTGTGTAGAAGTATGTACTGGCTTTGCAACTGCACTATAAGTGACAACGCCCCATCACTCCCTTTCCAAATTCAGTCATTGCACGTCTTTTTGCTCTGTTTCCACATTCACACCACTCCGGCACCCTACACTGCTGCATCGTCATGGGAGCCAACAAGAACGAGTGCTTGGGGTCCCACAGGACAAAGAAGGGCAAAGTTTCGGATTCAGCCTCGCACAATAAGGAGAACATCAACATTGATGTCACCTGCCCCAAACCGAAGCTGCACCCCATCAAGAAATCGAAGGACAACAATTCCGAGGGCTCAAACCTCCCTTTGAGTGTCGAGAACGATGCTGTCAATGCCCTTCTCAACTTGAAGGGAGTTAGGCAGCATGCACCGATGGACCAGGTGTTTGACGATGTCATGGGCTTCCAAGCCAGTGATTATGAGGACTTGGATCAAGAGGATGCAGAGAAGGAGAATGGGAGTGAAGTGGATGAGCTGGAAAGCTCAGAATCCTCAGGTGAGCACTCTGAGCTGTTGTACATTCTTGGTGTCCATTCCTGACATGTCATCAGCTGAGACAGGTAAATCCACACTCTGTGAGCTGTTTGACATCCCTTTTGAGGTCCCGTACATGGGAGCTACTTGCAATCTGAACGGAATCACCTCCCACACAACCTTTCAAGCTTTCCTGGTGGCATTGTCCAAACATATGGATGTGTGGCTCTCTTTACTCTCCAATATTGGCTACACCCCTTCATTTGCACCAAAATCTCCCAAGCCTGTTCCAATGGTGGTGCACAATCCTTGGTATGTGTGATGACCAGTGACATGCTGTGACAGAGTGTCACAGGCCCAATTTCTTGAGACACTGACCTTGTACTCTCTACAACACCAATTCAATATATATTTTTGCAATGGGATTGGCTGAACTAAGTGAATGAATCCATTCAGAGAGTTTTCCATGTAGAAATTGCATTTATTGCTCCAAAAATGCGAAATCAGTCTGTTTTCCCTGCCAAATCAGGCAGTCTGAAGAGATTGGAATATAACTTTTCAACAACAGCACGTATGAACATGATTTGCAGACAGACTTTACTTAAAATTTAAATTCCAGTCGATCTACGGGTCCAGAAATTTTATTTGTGACCCCTATGCTGAGATACCCTCGAAGATCGGTACTTTAACATGGTTAAAGGCTAGTAATTAAATTTCTGAACCTGTAGGATTGGGGCCACATAGTAATCGATGATTTCGTCTCTGCAAACCTAAGCCCAAATCCTATCCATTGTGAAGCTCTATAGCTTGAGAGACAACCTTGGGCCAATAGGTGCTGCATAGCCACCAAAGTGAAATATACTGCATATTCTTATACATTTGAATAGAGAATATCTATACAATTCTGGTGCACTTTTCCTCTTGTAAATTGGTGGAGAAATGACTGAGCTACATTGTTTACAAGTTTGGGCTATCTATAACTTGTGGCCAAAACAGGCATCTTCCCAATTTGGCAGACTGGTGCAGTACTTCATCATGCCCCACTGATTCCTGCAGGAATGGAGCCATTCCACTGGAATCCACAGGAATGGCACAGGAATCCACTGGAATCCACAGGAATGGACAGGAATGGCACAGGAATGGACAGGAATGGCCTAAAACACATATTTTGGAGCCTAGAGTATATTATGGAAAATTCCAAGCTTAGCTAGATGTCATGTGACTTAATCAACTCAGACCTTATGCTCATAACTTCTAAGAATTCTTTATGATATTAAGACTTGAATAGGGAGAATCACAGTGTATTTGATAGAACTACATAAATCTATTCTACTACATTGAGTGTTAAAGGGAGGGGGGAGGGAGTGGGGGAGAGTGATGGAGAGGGGATGGAGTGGTAGGGAGAGAGAGTGGTGGAGAAGGAAGGGGGGGGGGAGGAGGGAGGGGGGAAGGGAAAAGGAAAGGGGGACAAGGAATAGGGGATTGACAAGGAAGGGGGAGGGACAGGGAAGGGGGAGGGGGAGGGACAAAGGGGGGAGGGAAAAGGAAGGGGGAGGGAAAAGGAAAGGGGAGAGAAAGGGGAGGGGAGATGGACAAGGAAGGGGGAGAGAAAGGGGAGGGGAGAGGACAAAGTAGTGATGTGCAAGGGTTTGTCAACCCTCCAAGGGTCAGGGGTAAGGGTCAGGAGGGTAAGGGTCAGGGTAAGGATTTTGTGACCCTCAACAAACCCTTGACCCTTCTGAAGGGTCAGGGGTTTTTCAGGGTTTTTTTTAGGGGTTTCATTTCTCTAATATCAAGGTAAGTACTCCAGATAAAATGATTTTAAATCACATTGAATCAGATAAAATATCATCCAAAAAGGCCTCACTACCTTTGCAACACTTAGTATTGTTCAGATACACTGAATTCCTCATATTTCATCAATAATTTACTAAAAACCATGTGTACTGTCATAAATATACTTGAATGATGTGTATTTCACAGGCATCTTGCTATTTATTTACTATCTATAAAGCTTGAGCAGTGATTTGCTCCAAACCCTTGTTCAAACCCTGCTGGGGTTTCTTACCCTCCAACCCCTGAGATACCCTTACCCTTACCCTCCAAAACCCTTGACCCCAGCCAAGGGTCAAGGGTTTTGGAGGGTAAGGGTCAGGGTCAGCCTGAGTTGACCCCAGGGTTACCCCTGCTCATCACTAGGACAAAGATAGGCTCAATGAAGGGGGGGGACAGGGAAGGGGGGAAAAGGGAGGGAAGGCTCGACGACATGGGCGCGCGTTGTCGTTGTGTTGCATTGTCGACGATGTGGGCGCGCATTGTCGCCGTGTTGCGTTGTCGTCATGGTGTCGCATCGCCGTCGTGGTGTAAATTGGTGGAGAAATGACTGAGCTACATCGTTTACAAGTTTGAGCTATTTGGGAAAGCATCACCAGTCGAGGTCTTTATCATGCCCCACTGATTCCTGCCGGATTCCGGTCATTCCTGCAGAATCCAGCAGAATCCAGAGGAATCAAATTTGGCAGAGACACCAGCCAAAATGACATTCCGGGGGACAAATATTCCTCAGGAATGATGTCATTCCTGATTAGTAGCCGGAATGGTCCAGTACTTTACACTCCCACTGTGTGTCCAATGGAATCCGATGGACTTTCAATGGACCCTGCCATTTCCGATGGACTCAGCAGACAGTCCGTCGGAAGACCGTCAGATTCTGTTGGACATGACTGGATTCCACTGCTAGTCCAGGCAAAGTCCAATGAAAGTCTGCTCAAGCCATTTAGAAGCAAGAAATGGTTGGACTGGCTGGAATTCTGTGTCTGTCGGATGTCCGCTGGACTTCCGTTGGATTTCCAATGGACAGAGGCAGAAACCAGTCATAATTGCTAAGTTCTCAGTCTGCTGGACTTCCACTGGACTTCTAAGCAAAAAAGGCACAACTTCCAACAGACTTTCAGTGTCCAGTCTGCAATTCTTATAAGTAAATCTAAACAAGTCAGGCCCTGGTCAGACCTTATGCTAAATTCCTTAAGACATTGAGGTTTCAAAAACAAAGTATATTTTATAACTACATAAATTTATTTTACTATCCGCTTGGAAAAGCAGTGGCAGCGTAAAGACCTCGAATGGTCCCTGGAATGGACAAAAAGGAATGCAACCAGAATGCAATGTCCGGAATACACATTACTAATCAATAATATTAATAAACATTAATATACCCATGCCCAAATCAAGTCTCGGCAAACACCGAGGCTCGATTTCGCATCATCCAACAATCCACAACATTTGTCTTCTAACCACCACCATCGTCGTCGACAACAACTGGGCACACCACATCACCACCCTCGCCAACGGCCACCACCAGCCACAACTGTCGCCGTCACTGCCCACCAAGCAACCCAGGCTGTAGTTTTAGATCAAATTGACCTGGAAGGTTCCACCTTATTCATTTCCATAGGGTGTGCAATTGGCCACTTGGCCAAAATGCCATGGGTTGTGGAACATCAGAATATTTGAAAAAAAGCCTTTCAAAAATAAAAACCATTGCACCTATAATAAAATATACCCCCAGAATATGTTTTCAGCCTATAATACTGTTCTACAGCATCTATTTTTAGCCTCATATGTTTGTGATTTATTACAAATCTAAATATAGCTCACATGTGTTTCATGATTAAAAATTCTCAGAAATGGGATATTCTGGATCACTGATATGTTTTCTGTATGTTTTGTCTACCTAAAGAGCATCCAGATATGTTTTTTTCTTGAACTCCAGAATGTTTGTAATTTATTACAAATCTAAATATAGCTCAGATATGTTTGATGATTCAAAAATGTCACATTCTGGATCAGCATTGATGACTGGTATGTTTTCCTGTATTCTGTGGATGTTTTGTTTTTGCCTAAAGAGCAGCCAAATATGTTTTTTCTAGGGATCCAGAATGTTGGACAGATCTAAATATAGCTCAGATATGTTTTATGATTGAAAATTCTTAGAAATGGTACATCCTGGATCAGCATTGCTGACTGGTATATTTTCTTGTATTCTGTGTATGTTTTTCTTGCCAAAAGAGCATCCACATATGTTTTTCCATGTCATAATTCTTCTAGGAAAGCTGCATTTCACCAGAATATTCCAGTGGTGATGATTCTCAGTTTTCTCCATCAAAACTTGTGTTACAGCTACTCAAAGCTACCAAGTAATGTAGAAATATATTTCCGATTTTTTCAAAAAATTTCCACCTCAATCAGAGGTGTGGAGATGATGGATGCACAAGTCATGTTCCAGATGACCTTTTGTTTTTTGATCCTTCTAGGTAACAAACAAATGTCAACATGAGAGGAGATTCATGAAAGTGCCCTTTGAAGGATGTCATTCAAGTTATTGACAGAACTAACTTCATATTTCTTCAGTTGCAACTGGTTTCCATCATATAGTATGTATTTTGTATTTCAAATCCGCAGCTTTTCGGATGGATGGCTTAGGTTCCAGCTGGATGACGTCCCCAAAGGCATTGCCAAGCAAGTACAAATAGTTGCTCTCCTCATGCCCAGATCTTCAATAGGCACAGTTATTCATCCTCTACACTTGTATCTAATGATAAATATACATTTTAGTACTCTTAAAGTAGAACAGAATCCAATCTATCATGTTTTGTATTTACGGCACCCTCGAAAGTGGATGGATGCCACATAGTGAAGTTGGATGACAAGTTTGAAGCTGTAGACAAACAGATGCAAACTCTCCAAATATATTGAAAACAACGGAAATTGAGCAAGGAGGGGAAGGCAACACTATACCAAAATAGCTCAGCATGATTCATTTACAAACTCTGACTTACACTATCAGAAGTTGGCTAAAAGTTGTAGAGAAAGCAGTATCTTTGTTTTTAAAGCTCAAAAACATATCATTCCAGCAAGTTGTAAACTAATACAAGTCTACCAAACATCCAGAGCATAAGTGAAAGGATATTAGGACAGGCAGTTTTGTTTTTTGAGTAAAATAACACACCTGAAAGTCTTGTTCTCTTTTTTTCATATTTAGGAGGGTTTTTAAACATGTAATTGTGTTGGGAAACCTTGGTGTACTGTTCTAATTTTTAGGGAATTAGATTCACAGGATCATAAGTAAAGGTTGGTGTCAGTAGAAAGTCTCTGAGTACTGTATCCACTTTGATAATGAAGGTTTTGTTGTGAAAGTCAATGAATAGGGTATATTTCTTCAGACTTTAACTATTCAGAATAGAAAACTGAATAGATTCCCAGAATTTTATGGAAATCAGAGGATTTTGGAGATGCAGGTGATAGGATTGGTGCAGAGGGGTCACAATAAAGCAACTGAAAGTGCCGGAATTTGGCCGGAATCTCAGGTGTAGATTGCAACTCTTCTGACTTTTATTCCCTGCCTAGTAAATACATATTGCTACCTATCTTAAATGTTAATCCTATTCCTCAAAGCCTCTAAATACACTTTTCTGTATCTTTTTCTTCCTTATAACGAACACAGGAGCGACTTGTGCAACTCTCTGTCAGCGCTTGGCATTTTCCGAGCGCTGTTGATGTGTGGTTGAGCAGCCACATCAACGTCTCTGCCACTGCTCCATCATGCCTACCTCTCAACACTCGACTCGCCTTCCGCTCGACAATCGACTCATCGTCAGTCTTGTCCCACTCCAATCGAATTCTTCCCAAATCCGAGGCCTCGCTCCCGTCGTCGTTTATCACTTCTCGATGTTTATCAACAATTTCACCATCTGGGAGTCCAAAGGGAGCGACATGGGGATGTTTGCCAGATGCGAACTTCATCAAGGTGAGTTCATTATCTTCAACTTATAGCAGCTCCCTGTTGAATCTAATAGGTCATTATACATGCCAACGGCATCATCGCCAAATGGCTGACGTGGTACGCCAATGGTCAATCCAGGCGTGCCACGTCGTCAACGACTTTCCAAATTACGATACCCATGACTTTCCAAACTACGACGCACATGACGCCAGGACCCAAAACGAGGGTCCACGATGACGATTCACCACCACCACCATCCACTAAGCGACCGCCGACCACCAGTACCACAATCTGCAAACAGCAACAGGCCACGAGTGCCCACCACCCACAGACCCAACAATGATGATCCACCACTACCACAACGGCCATGTCATGACCAGTCAAACCACAGGCGACTGCCCACCACTCGATTGCCTACCACCCGTGGATGGCGATGACTGCCCACCATCATCACCACTCAAACAACAAACTGGGCAACAAGCGCCCATCACCACCACCACCAACACAGACAAGCCAGGTGCCACGTCGCCGACAGTGACGTGGAACCAAACGACGAACAACATTGTTCGTCATTACCGGATTGAGGACCACACTCCGACGATCCAGGACATGCAGTCTGCATGATCGAACTCGACAGTGTCAAGCACAAGGTGGAAGTGCATCATAGTAAGCGGGGGTGATGGATGTGAGGGATGGCCACTTCATGTTATAGCTGATGCCAGGTAAGTATATAGTTCTCTCCTCCCCACTCCCCGCTCTGACAAATCGCGATGACAGGGGTTGTCATCCTTCATTGATGACAATGGACTCAACTACGAGGCGACGACAACAGACAAAGCAAAGACAACAGACAACCATGGCCACCACCAAGGACAACAATGTACCACCACAATGCGAGGGCCACCGTCACAGATGACAACCTACCACCAACCGCGACCACGATGCACGACAACGACTATGGACCACCACAACGTGAAGACAAAATGACAGACAACAGTGACCAAGACCAGATGACCTCCAGTTCAGCACTCAGCCAATCGTCGGCCTCAACCTCCACTCTGCTCAGAAGAGAATCGATCGGAAATGAAAGGAAGGCATCGTCAAAGGGAGAGCATGGAGTTTATTGATTCTGGAATTGTGTGTTGTAGATTGTCAGATTGGGATACGACGACTCACCACGTATGATTTACCTCCTTTTGCTGAATGTACATTAGTAGATTCTTTATTCCATTATTTTTATCATTTTCTTTTCCCTGTGCATCATCTACACTTTTTTTTTTTTTTTTTAATTTGTTGACATCTGTGTATCAACGCCGTCTAAGGCCCCAAAGTCATCCAAAAAGGGTTTGTCACATCCAACTATTTCGGTTAGATTTGACAGAGGGAAATTATCTGAAGTGGTCTGAATATATTCCAGCATATATTTGGTGAAGTTTCAGAGGTTGTTTCTATGACGAACAAAGCTGTAGGACATATATTTCTCCTCAGAACTAAAACTATGCATTGTTGACAGTTATGTACCAAAGGCATTGAAAGGTCCAAGGTCATCCGAAATGGATTTGTCGCATCCAGCCTATTTTGGTCAGATTTGACAAAGGGAAACTATTTAGGAGTGTCAGAACATTGTCAAAGATATATATGGTAAAGTTTCAGGTGTTCTTTTTAGGAAAAACAAAGCTGTAGGACATAAATGTCTCCTCAGAATTAAATAATAAATATGTACCCATATAATATCAACAATACCTCTTTCCACCCACCCTACGGCAAGCTGTGCATTGATCCACATCCAGACCAAGTGGTCAAATGCACTTCCTATGGAAATGAATAAAGTGCATTCTTCCAGTTTATAAGGCATAGAGCTACAGCCAGGGGTGCACCAAGGACGACAATGGATGATGATGGATGACGACGACGACGACACATCAGCGGACGACGAGGACGGCCACATGTCAACGGATGATGACCACGTCAACAGACGACGAGGATGACGACTACACGCCAATGGACGACAACCACGTCAACGGACGACAACCACGTCAACAGAGGATGGCCACGTCAACAGATGGCCACAACCATGGATGAGGATGTGCCCCTGATGATGGGAAACCAGTGTGCCATGTTGCTGTCAGTGATGTGGCAACAAGGTGAGTGCCCCATCCCAACACGTCTTGTTAACGACTACCACGACAGGACGGGCGCTCACGACGATGAGCACTTGTTGACAAACACCACACCACATTACAACACGACGACAACGAGTGCCCACAACGTAGAGCGCCCACCCCATTGGCGAAGATGACGACGAGTGCATACGACGACACCACGACAATGCGACACGACGGCGACGCGACACCACGATGGCGACGCGACACCACGACGGCGACGCGACACCACGATGGCGACGCGACACCACGACGGCGACGCGACACCATGACAACAACGCAACATGACGACAACACACGCCCACATCGTCAACAATGCAACACATTGACGACAACGCAACACGACGACAACGCGTGCCCATGTCGTCGAGCCTTCCTTCCCTCCCTTTTCCCCCCTTCCCTGTCCCCCCCCTTCCTTGAGCCTATCTTTGTCCTCTCCCCTCCCCTTTCTCTCCCCCTTCCTTGTCCATCTCCCCTCCCCTTTCTCTCCCCTTTCCTTTTCCCTCCCCCTTCCTTTTCCCTCC